ATCAATAACGACGAACACTTCGAGGTATCTCTGACCCCCTTCTTGTAAATGTTCCCCTTCTTCCTGACCAGCGGCCATTTTATCAGCAAAGATTGGCCCGGGGAGCGACACATTACCCCCTTCCCAGGAACCTTGGTCCCGTAGATATAGATCTGGTTCTTCGGTGTATTCTGGTGCTGTTTTACAGAAACGACCGTCAAGAAGAATAAAAAGATTTTTTAAAAGAAGAATAAATAGTTTTTTTAAATGACGAATAGTTTACTTATATTGTTGGTTAAAATAAAAGCTTGAAGACATATTCATAAAATTGATACTTTACATTAGTAATATTGGGGTCTTCAGCAGTAATTCCAATGAATCCAAACGACTCCATGGCTCATGTAACTTACCGTATACTTCCTCGCAAAATGTATCATTACTGGAAGTATCGTTCCCGTCAAAATCCCTGGTTTCATTATAGGTGTAATATATATCTTGACCGTCACTGCCGTCATCATAATCGTCGTCGGCGTCATCGTGCACATAAGAGGATGAAGCAGACGACGAGTTATGAGAAGTTTGTCGACTTCTACCCGATGTTCGTTTGTAAACAATGTGAGCCTTTTCGCCATTAAACTCGTCTTGAGTCTCGCGACGGTATCGAGAGTCATGATGGTCTTTTAATGGAGTAATGTACACATCTGTATCATCATGGCTTATTAGACCACGCTGTCAAGAAAAGTACAACAAGTTGTTCAGAAATGGATTCAAGTTTGAGTTTTTATTGCCTACAATGATATATAGATTAGGCTACAGTGGTGTTCTACGAAGAAGAAATATAAGTACGATAATCAAATTGAATGAGATATAAACAATTCATCGGAGGCATTCGACAGAGATTCCGGTGTAAAACTAGATTTTTGGGTTTCGAATTTCCTTGTTATCTCAGTCATTCACAAAGAACATGGGGAGAAATGCCAACATTATTACACAAATGTATAACAACTGGAATATTATACATAATAACAGAGGTACGATATATGCTCCCTAGATAATTTGTACGAGATCAGTTTCCTTTAAAAATCATGTACAAACGCTTGTGTTTAATTCTTAATTATTCCTAAATGCACCTTGAGCACTCCACAGAATGGATTTGGTGCTATATAAATTACATTAATTATCATTATCATAACTAACCAAATTCCTATCTTCAATCTTGGACCTAACAGTAAACCCAACCTTATCCCTGAACCATACCCTGAGTTCTAACCAAATACTTTTGACGGAATAAAATCCGGAGCAATTATTGATGGAATACCGATCCGAGGATATGATTTTTAAACATTAGGGATCTGAATAGTTTTGTGTGCATTATGCCAAAATGATGATTACCTTTTTAAAAAAGTATTAATTTTGAAAAATATTTGTGCATTATTTTCGTTTGTGACTGTAATGGTCTTACCAGTCCGTTACATGTACTCAGAGCTCCAGCAGATTCACCCATATGAGATATAAGATGGGCAAAGTAATAGCAGTCCCGCTCAGAAATCTCCTCTTCTGTTATCGTACCGTCTGAACCAACTCGTTCCACAATCAATCCTTGCCTTAGTAACCAGGGGTTTGGTTGGAGACGGGCGTGGTATTGTTGACCAAACGCGTTGAATTTCACCTCACGCTCTCGTGGTGTGACTAGTTCTGAGTCTACGCTTCGTTTGTTGACGATTGGTTTTGGGTCGACATACACCGGTGCTGTGAAATCATAATCTGTTAAGGAAATATCATAATAACATATCTTTTACAAGATTGAAATATTTCTTTCAATATGTATATTTTACTCTATTCTATTCAGAAGACAAGGGTGTGGTTTTGAAGGATCCACTTATGGCGCATCAGGACAGTTCTTACTGTATGTCACTTTCATTTTTATTGTGTAACGAAAAAGTCATCATAAAATTATGCCTCCAGTCATTCAGTATTTTCAGATAAGAATCACTTTTATTCGAAATAATAGCGGCAACAACATTAAAAGAGAAAGAAAGTAAATATTTATCTCAAGTCCATGGCGCATTGTCGTTTATATTGGTAGGGTATGTTGACATACATGAATATGGACAGTCAACCTGTCCGAAACGTCGAGTCTACTCTCCTGCTCCTGCTCTGCAACTCTACTCAACTCTTCAACTCAATCCAGTCTTCTACTCAAACCTCTCATCCTATCTACAACTTTCTGGTTTACAGTCCTTTTCAGGACTATACTCACTTCTGAAAGATACTCTTCCTTCCAATCTCCACTTTCTCGCCTTTCTATTTTCACTTCTATTTTCTATCCACTTTCCTTAGTCCTTCTAGGACTTTACACATGGTGTACCGTAAATCTCTACCGTGATTATACATGAATATGTTGATGGTTACAACAGACATCGACTCATTTCTTATTAGTCATGATGATGGTGATGATGATGATGATGGTGATGGTGATGATAGTGATGATGATAGCTTTTTGTATACTCTGTATTTGATCGAATTCAATGAATGAGAGTTTTCATCGTGATAATGAGAGTGAATTTATTTTAAGGTCCAGTCGGGCTGTTTACCCCGATTTCGACTATACATTTTTTCCCAATCAATGTCATCCGCCTCCAATAATGAAAATAGATGAGGCTCCCCCTATCATACAGGTCCCAGCTTACCTTCGATGGAGTGGTGATTGCTGGTGTAGAGTTGAAGGTCTTCTTTCGAAAGTTTAAAACCCCTCTGAACCGTACAAAGAACAAAAATATATGAGATTAGTAATAGAACTACGGGAGTAACAAACCCGTTTTTATTAACTTTTATTTCATATTATGTTCATCTAAATTAACACGTAATTAATGGGGGAGGGGGGGGGGGGGGGGCACACCCATAGTCCGTTTGTAGGCCAATGCATGTGTATGGAAAAATCTTTCTAGTGAAAATATAATTTGAGTTACTTCGGGTATCACATAATGTTGGAAAATGGATAATGTGATCATCCGACACCTACTTCATTTTTATCTTGCCTTGGTCTGGGCTTTATAGTATAGGATTAATGTTAGGGTTGCAATTGGGATTTAGGTTGAATTTAGAGTTAAACTTAGGTCTAGGTTCAATGCTTGGTCTAAGAGTGATGTTAATATGCCTAGTGTCGCAGGGGTACGTACGAGTGGTAGAACTGGTTGAAGTAATATGAGTTTATGACTCTGTTCATGGGGAAATGCCCCTGTTGGGACGCAGGGCTACCTTCATTATTCCAGCTAGGATCAATCAGTATCTGGAAAGGTCACTGCATATCAACCTCACATAATTAAATTGCGAGATAATATTTTTCCCAAAGTTCTTTAAGATAACTTCAGTGATTGCGACCAAGTAATTTGTAGACTAAAACTAATTCTGAAAAATTACAATGTACACATTTCATAAAACCTGTCATTTCATCATTCCTTGGGTCATTATGAGGGGAAAACCCATGCTCTTTAACAATGGTATCCGTCTAATGCATGCAAAAAGCCCCCATTTAATCAGTGGTTGCAAGATCCAAGGCAAACATAAACAAGATTAAAAATACGAACTCGGATTACCCTTTTCTAAGATAAGATAAAGAAAGAATGTTAAAGTAGACCTATAAGACACAGATAATGTTTATCATAAGAATTTAAATTTCTATATATATAGTGGATGTGCAAAGAAATATGGGAAAGTATTCACTCACTAAACACCCTGCTCACTAAAAGCAGCAACAACAACAACAAAACAACAACATGTATTTGCAACTGAACTAAAAAAAGGTTCTATCTGAAAACTAATACGAATTGTGGATTTTGTAATAAAAAAAAAAGGGGGGGGGGGTCCACTTCCCACCCCTGCAAGCTGTGCATTTCTTTAGTAATAAGTTAAAAACAGGATCAAATAAAGATTCATTAACAATCAAACTTGCCCTCGAACTCCTTTTGGTTTCCATAGTTGCTAGTCCTGCTTCAAACGATAATAAAATAATAAGGTTGAATTGTAGTAAAAATTTCATCTTTGCCGCTTAAATTGATCGCACCATTGATATTCACAAGAAATATTCGTTTAACTTTTAATTGTTACGCTCCAGGGTATGGATCTCTTATTGTTGTCATTAAGATTTCATAATCATTTCAATGAGCATCATAGCAATGATTGCTGCGCAGTCATCGCGCTCTTGTAAACTATTGTGACGCAATAATTTGTAATCGATACGGCAGCGCGTAAACGCCTTATCGATCATGAACATAATTATTGGCACCTGCAGCGTTTATAATTTTGAATTAAAAAAAAAAAAAATCTTTGCTTAGTCGGGCATAAGAACCAAATGAACAGATGCCTATCATTTATATATGGATAAATACATACATATTAAAAAAAAGGTATATTCATTGAAAATCTATGATAATTATAACCTTAAATTGAAATAGCTTTTTTTCTTCGAAGTTGACATGTATTCATATTTTCACTAACTCGACCCTACTCATTTTTATTCCTCTTTGAATTAAACATTATGAACTATTTAATATATCCACTTGATTATTCTATATTGGGTTTCTAGATGCAAGGGGGAAGCCCCGGCGAAGAAAGAATACCAATATTTCCATGATTTGGTGTCTCCAAATCTTCTTACTCACTGATTATACCTCTTGACACCATATATAACCGGATCTTGATTATGAAGTTGCCTCATAAACAATACTTGATAAGGGATGCCTGGCCAATTAACCCCTATATCTTACATGTTCCTGATCTTACCATGCGACCTCACAGTACTGACAGGAATATTAAAGATAACAATTCTATTTACATACCCTTAAGGAACAAATAGTTTGATCATTCCATTCAGCTGAGTTTTGATAAGCTATATAATGACGGTGTTTTGGGAAGGATCCGCCTTCTTGTGATTTGTTATTGGGTAAGATTATGAAGACGAGAAACAAGAATGAAAAAAATATATAGATGAAGAATATAAATAGCTAGGTTTGATCGGGTTGTCAGATATATTTTATCGACTGGTAAGCTGATGATTGTCCTTTCAGTCTGAAACGCTGTGCATCGGTTTTCAACAATCGACGGATATTTTGCGAGTTAAGACGTGAGAATGGAGACTCCTGTTGACGAAGTCATGAACTCTGTGACAGTCGATGAAGGGTGCAATGAGCAAGCCAATGACCATGCCAATGACGATGGCGATGACCAGGACGATGTCCAGAGCGATGTCCAGGGCGATTACCAGACGGATAGCCATTACGAAGTTCACGCTGAGGAAGAATGCGATGACGACGACGACGACAATATCCGGGTTGATGATTTGGCCGATGACAAAGCCGGCAATCACGCTGATGATCAGGCAAAAGAAACGGAAATCGAACAAAGTTCCAAGCAACAAAATACCAGCTCAGACGATGGTTCTTCACAGGTGCGTATAATAAAAAGAAACACTAAAAATGGCGTATAATATTATATAGAATAGCTCGTCTTTCTTCTTCAACAACAAAAATAACTATTATAAATTATGACGGTCGATACGTAATCCTTTTTACATGAGCATCTACCGAAAAGGGAGCGTTATATTTGCCTCATGACGTATTACTTCTCGACATCATGTCATAAGAATTAGCAATGTCATGTGTGAATGGCATAAATGATCGATCTAGAATAGGAGAGGATTGGAGCATATTCTTGAGTATTTCATTGCCATAAACTTTTGTTGATGATCTTGTAACGTAATTAGAAACTAAACAATTATCATGAAGTTCATCAGCGCCGAGTACCAGTGGCTTGAAAGGGCAACATTCTTTCAAATCTATCTGAAATGAAAAACTTTAGAATGATGAAAGAAAATAATGGCTTTAAAAGGCGAGCTTCATGAACTATGTAAATCATGGTATCGGCTTATTTCTGAATTTCTTTATTTCTTTCATAGAATTCAACAAATGTCATCACAAATCAGCCAAAGTCCTCAATCAAGGCTCCGTCTCCTATGCCCACCAGCGATTCTAAAGAAGGCGAACAAGATACGATTCACAGCACAGCTGTAAACGACATTGATGTTGAAGTCGAAGGTAGTTCAAAGCTCGACTACGAACTGGCGATCGTACCAGGAGCATGTCTATCAGCGTCAGCAGGGATGGGGTCAGCATCAAAGGAGCTATGTAACGGGTTTACTGACCTTGAATGCAGGTACCCTAACGTTGGTTGCGAGCTGTCGTGTGGATGCGAAGATGGATTACAGCTCGTAAGCGACTGCACAATGGAGCTCTGCAGCGCGAATTGTATTCTTGGTTGGCTCGCCTGCTCACTCGGTCTCGCCTTGGATACGAAGGCGACTTGGAACCAAGATGGAGTTGAGTTTGAGGTACTTGGAACCGGTATCGAAACATCACAGGGAAAAGTTCTTCGGGTGCTAGGATCAGGGATTGGTATAATTGATAGTGAGAAAAGAGAGACGGTGAAAATGAAGAGGAAAGCAAAAGAAGTACAGCGAGCTCAGAAGGCGGCGACGAAAGAAAAGGAGAACATGGTAGAGAAAGCAACTGAACTCGAGATGTCTGGCGAAGACAATACTACTGCTGAAATCGAAGACTAAGACGAGAATGTAGCAATTCAAGAAGATCATTCAAAAACTTGGTAACTGTAGTTAAGACAATTTCGTCACATAATTTCATCACAAGATGATTCGATCAGGCATGATGAAAGCAATATATCGTCTGCTGATCAGGGAACCAAACTTAATTTTCATAGTAATATTAAGGAAATATATATATATATATATCTTCATCTAAAGCCTTACGCTTTCACTTCTATTTCATCTACCTCTCATGTATATCCTCTTTACCTTATAAAATAAATACTCTATGTTTTTCATTTGATATTTCTTGTCCCTTTCTTCTCGTTTAATGATAAATTTCGCCGACTATATAATTTTATATGATGTTCACGAAACAAAGTATTTTGTATTCTTCGACTTGAAAGAAGAGAGAGAGAGAGAGAGAGAGAGAATGTATAGGGTATTTATATAATGTATATTGTTAGCTTACCCATGTAAAATACTACTTGTACGATTCTAAGCATGAAACGTATTAAATGTTTTTTTTTGGTAAGTGCATTATATATAATATGTCTGGACAATTTCGTCAGAGGTTATTTAAACATTGGTTCGAATAAGACGTGGTAAAAGTTTGTTCGAGATTAGTTTTTCACATACTCTTTATCGTAATTTTCTATGAGAATAAGTTTCTTTTTGCTTGTCTTCTTTCGTTTGGTTTAATGATAACTCAGTTGTAAATAAAGTTGTTTATAAAAAATTATTTTTGCAGCTTTAAATTAAAATGTGTTTAATTTCTTTCTGTACATAATCTATAATAATAATACGCTAAGGCTCCGCGGGGGGCGCGACGTCTCGGCGAGCCTTTGTATTCTATTGTTTTTTAATGAGATCGCCGACCCAAGTTGGTGCGGCTATCTCCTCCTGAACCCTGCCCTCGGGGTACCCGTGCCCGGTGCCATCGTCCGCGGGAGAGTCTACTCTAGCGAATTGGCTATACTCCGCCCGAGGTTCTCCTCCGTGTCGACGTCCAGGGCGAAAACAGACGCGACATGCATAATGCAGGATATGCGTGACGACAGAGATACCTCATGGATATTCAACATTGCATCCGTAGACACACGACCGATGACCATCCACTCACATTAAGTTGCGTATTAAATGCACGATGGACAGGGTCGGGATTACCCGAGTAAAGCATCTTTCCATTGTAGTAGCGCTACACGGGGCTTCCCGTCGACGTCCAAACTTAGAGACCCATTTCCGTCATGAATGCCGCGATTTGTATATAGTTTTCGTGAATGGAGGTATGAAATAAAAGCTTATTTTGTGATTATTACGGCCATGCTAACTAAATTTTGATTATCATTTTCTAAAGGAAAGTTTTCACAAGAAAACCATTGGACTGACAATTCAATCGCAAGCTGCCTTCAGTCAACACACAGTGCAATGCTGCTGTGTGCGGTGTGTGAGTTGAAATGAGCTTGCAGGAAGCTCCTAACCGGCACCGCGCACCGTAGGCGTCCGACGCCTGCGGCGCCGGTGTTCGAGCTCTGGAGTTACGCTGTAGTGTGTGTGTGAGTTCACCTGAGCTGAGTCGAAGAGATTTGACACTTTGAAATTGTTGGTTTGCATCATAATTGCCGCGATTTCAATATAGTTTCGTGAATAGATTTACGAAACCTGAGCTTAGAATTAGTAAAAGTATTACTAATGTCTACGTTTTTAAACGACTGTCTGATTTTCTTGTGAAAATTTTACTAATTGAAAAATGATTATCGAAATTCATGGTCAGAAATAATCACAATCTAGGGTCTATTATGTTACAGTTCTTGCATCAAATCAATGCATGAAAACTTAGTTATTGAACTAGAAAAATGTTGGTTTGCATCATTATTGCCGCGATTTCAATATAGTTTCGTGAATAGATTTACGAAACCTGAGCTTAGAATTAGTAAAAGTATTACTAATGTCTACGTTTTTAAACGACTGTCTGATTTTCTTGTGAAAATTTTACTTTGAAAAATGATTATCGAAATTCATGGTCAGAAATAATCACAATCTAGGGTCTATTATGTTACAGTTCTTGCATCAAATCAATGCATGAAAACTTAGTTATTGAACTAGAAAAATGTTTTTTTTTTTAAATAGGCAATTATGAAGTAGGAAGCCTGAAACCTTGGCCTACTAAACAAATCTCAACAAAGTGTAGGCCCATCTTTTTATGAATTAATGAAAAAGTAGCCCCAGAAAAAAGAGCCCCCGAAAGTTGAAAAAGTAGCCCCCGAAAAATTTCCCCAAAATTTGAAATGGAGCCCCGACATGAAAAACTTAATTTTTTGCCTGCGCCCCCCTCTAGAATCCTGCGGACTTCCGCGGGTACTGAGTTGAGTGTATATATAATATAGGCGTGGGGTCCACGGGTTTAAAGGGCCATAAACCCCCAAAAGCTCGGGGGTTACGTTCTTCAAAGTTGGGGGGGGGGGGGGGGGGAGAGATCAGATCGCAGCGAGATGAGTGTATATATAATATAGGCGTGGGGTCCACGGGTTTCAAGGGGCCATAAACCCCCGAAAGCTCGAGGGTTTTAGGCGTTTAATTAAGGTCAGATGAGCATATTTTTAATACTTTGTGACACTCGGGGTCACTAATTGGCGTGGGGTCAATACGTAGTGTTGCGTACCAACTACGATGGCCTACGTTACTATATGCTGAGGGATGGGAAGGGGTACGCAAGGTGAACGAAAACAATTCAACATGTTTAATTTTTTTCGCGTACTTTCGGCGTAGAAACTTGACGCAGATAGTACGCCTTTTTACGCAACAGTACGCTACCCTACGCCAGATCGACTAAGCAGTAAAAGCTTTCCACACAGTAAGCAACCATAAGCAAACCTGTACGCCAGCCTACGCATAACCTACGCAGGGACTATTTTCCCATTAATAATATATGCAGCCTAATTTCTGCGTAGTCGGTACGCCACACTACGGAACTCTACGCAGTTCCAGTGGCTTAAAGAATAACTACCGGTACAGTTGGATTGTTTTTTTAAATTTAATATAAGGCCAAATTAAAAAAAAAACATGCTTATAGCGTCCTGTTTTTTTGAAAAATGGGAAGGAGGAGGCCCTTTTTTTTTTCTTTTTTTTCTTTCAAAATGGCCGCTCCGTACATTTTCCCTGGCCTTCGGGCTATTTTTCAAGATGGCGGCCGACAATTTTTTTTTTTTTTCTTTTTTAAAATCAGAAATACATTTTAGCAGTGCTTTTTATGTTTTTTTTCTTTCAAAAAAAAAAATAAAAAATAAAAAAAAATAGGAGGCGGCCCCCAAAAAGGAAGCAGGCGGGGACGATGTTTTTTTTCTTTTAAAAAAAAAAAAAAAAAAAAAATCAAAAAAAAAAAAAAAAATAGGAGGCGGCCCCCAAAAAGGAAGCGGGCGGGGACGCTAAACATGTATATTTTTTAATGGCCTAAATGGCAAATAACGTTCTTGGTGGTTTTAATTTAGACATTTTCTATAAATCTATTTACACCCCCGCCCCCTCTAGAATCCCGCGGATTTCCGCGGGTCCTGCTAGTCTATAATAATAATACGCTAAGGCTCCGCGGGGGGCGCGACGTCTCCGCCGGCCTTTGTATTCTATTGTTTTTTAATGAGATCGCCGACCCAAGTTGGTGCGGCTATCTCCTCCTGAACCCTCCCGTCGGGGTACCGGTGACCGGTGCCGTCGTCCGCGGGAGAGTCTACTCTAGCGAATTGGCTATACTCCGCCCGAGGTCCTCCTCCGTGTCGACGTCCAGGGCGAAAACAGACGCGACATGCATAATGCAGGATATGCGTGACGACAGAGATACCTCATGCATATTCAACATTACATCCGTATCAAATAGACACACGACAGACGACGAGCAATCCCGTCGACGTCCAAACTTAGAGACCTATTTCCATCATGATTGCCGCGATTTTGATATAGTTTTTGTGAATGGAGGTATGAAATCAAAGCTTATTTTGTGATTATTACGGACATGTATACTAAATTTTGATCATCATTTTCTAAAGGAAAGTTATTACAAGAAAACCATTAGACTGACAGTTGAGTCGCAAGCTGCCTTCAGTCAACACACAGTGCAATGCTGCTGTGCAGTGTGTGTGAGTTGACATGAGCTTGCAGGAAGCTTCAACACCAGCACCGCGCACTGCAGGCGTCCGACGCCTGCGGCGCCGGTGTTCGAGCTCATGGAGTTACGCTGTAGTGTGTGTGAGTTCAGCTGAGCTGATTTGACACTTTGAAATTGTTATCTGTTGGTTTGCATCATTATTGCCGCGATTTCAATATAGTTTTGTGAATAGATTTACGAAACCTGAGCTTAGAAATAGTAAAAGTATTACTAATGTCTACGTTTTTAAACGACTGTCTGATTTTCTTGTGAAAATTTTACTTTGAAAAATGATTATCGAAATTCATGGTCGGAAATAATCACAATCTAGGGTTTATTATGTTACAGTTCTTGCATCAAATCAATGCATGAAAACTTAATTATTGAACTAGAAAAATGTTTTTTTTTTTTTTTTAAATAGGCAATTATGAAGTAGGAAGCCTGAAACCTTATAGCCTACTAAACAAATCTCAACAAAGTGTAGGCCTATCCTTTTATGAATTAATGAAAAAGGAGCCCCAGAAGAAAGAGCCCCCGAAAGTTGAAAAAGTAGCCCCCGAAAATTTCCCAAAAATTTGAAATGGAGCCCCCGAAATGAAAAACTTAATTTTTTGCCTGCGCCCCCCTTTAGAATCCTGCAGATTTCCGCGGGTCCTGAGTTGAGTGTATATATAATATAGGCGTGGGGTCCACGGGTTTCAAGGGGCCAGCATAAACCCCCAAAAGCTCAGGGTTACGTTCTTCAAAGTTGGGGGGGGGGGGGGAGATCAGATCGCAGCGAGTTGCGTGTATATATAATATAGGCGTGGGGTCCACGGGTTTCAAGGGGCCAGCATAAACCCCCAAAAGCTCGGGGGTTACGTTCTTCAAAGTTAGGGGGGGGAGAGAGATCAGATCGCAGCGAGTTGAGTGTATATATAATATAGGCGTGGGGTCCACGGGTTTCAAGGGGCCATAAACCCCCGAAAGCTCGGGGGTTTTAGGTGTTTAATTAGGGTCAGATGAGCATATTTTTTCATACTTTATTTGTGACACTTGCGGGTCACTAATTGGCGTGGGGTTAATACGTAGAGTTACGTAGTGTTGCGTACCAACTACGCTGGCCTACGTTACTATATGCTGAGGGACGGAAAGGGGTACGCAAGATGAACGAAAACAATTCAACATGTTTAATTTTTTTTCGCGTACTTTCGGAAACTTGACGCAGAAAGTACGCCTTTTTACGCAACACTACGCTATATGACTACGCAGCAGTATGCTACCCTACGCCAGATCGACAAAGCAGTAAAAGCTTTCCACACAGTAAGCAACCATAAGCAAACCTGTACGCCAGCCTACGCATAACCTACGCAGGGACTATTTTCCCATTAATACGCAGCCTAATTTCTGCGTATTCGGTACGCCACACTACGGAACTTAAAGCTTAAAGAATAACTACCGGTACAGTTGGATCGTTTTTTAAATTTTTATATAGGGCCAAATAAAAAAAAAAACATGTTTAACATCCTGTTTTTTTCGATAAATGGGAAGGAGGAGGCCCTTTTTTTTTTTTTTTCCTTTCAAAATGGCCGCTCCGTACATTTTCCCATGACATTCGGGCTATTTTTCAAGATGGCGGCCGACAATTTTTTTTTTTCATGTTTTTTTTCTTTCAAAAAAAAAAAAAAATTCAAAAAAAAATTCAAAAAAAAAAAAAAAATCAAAAAAAAAAAAAAAATTCAAAAAAAATTCCAAAAAAAATAAATATAGGAGGCGGCCCCCAAAAAGGAAGCGGACAGGACGCTGTTTTATTTTCTTTCAAAAAAAAAAAAATCAAAAAAATTTCAAAAAATAAATAAATAGGAGGCGGCCCCCAAAAAGGAAGCGGGCGGGGACGCTAAACATGTATATTTTTTAAATGGCCTGAATGGCAAATAAAGTTCTTGGTGGTTTTAATTTAAACACTCTCTATATATCTATTTACACCCCGCCCCCCTCTAGAATCCCGCGGATTTCCGCGGGTCCTGCTAGTTATGGTATAATGTAATAAGAGAAAGAAAATAGTTCACAAATAAATGAGCAAGATAAACAAAGATCTATCCACTTTCGTCTATTCTCACTGTCAGGTCTTCAGTTCTCTCTCTCTCTCTCTCTCTCTCTCTGTTGTCTGTCTGTCTCCCTCTAGCTCTTTCTGTGTCTCTTCTTCTCTCACTATTGTTTACAGGTTATGCATCACACTGCTTATCATTTTATAGCTCCTGTATATTCTCTTCACATACACCGTACAACATACAGTCTTTTTGGTTAATCAAGAAGTAACAACCTGGAACAGTGAAATATAAGTGAATGAACTTTTATTCAAAATATTTCATTCAAAGCATTTTACACAATAAGTTTGTGTACAAAACAGTGACAGTATATACATGTTTAGATTGGGCACATATCTACATGACATCAACCTATTCTTCGACATAAGAAAAATAAGGAAATCTAAAGAAGGGAAATATGTCAATGTTCTTCCACAAATCAAAAGAGAAAGGGAAAGCAGTGTGTTTCTAACTCATACATTTCATTGCTGTATGTTCTCCTCTTTACAAAGAATATATAATGCAAACATCTGATACACTAATACAAACTAAATATAAATGAAATAAAGGTAGAAGCAATATATTTCACAAACATAAAGAGTAATCCACTATGGAAACACACATCCATGATTTTGTTATTCTTCTATGATCAGCAGCTTTCCGTAACTAAATTTCCCCAGGAACATGCTTCATACGCCTCTTGTTTTGTGAAATATATTGGTTGAAAGATTAGAAATCATCAACCTGCAATCTACATTTATAACAACAGTCCTATTTAGTGGACATGGAATGGCAAAAAGGGAATCATTCATATCTACATGATGTATACATATCAAAATAATGCTGGTAAGGATTCTGCCTAGCATCAGAGCATAATACCTAACAACCCACATATCTGACATTAATATAACTTATGCATTAAGTTGAAATAGTTTCAAAGAGTTACAATATGATCAAACAAAACAAGCAAACAATACATGTACGCCAGTAACCAAACAAACGTGTTTAAACTGGAAACTAAATCAAATGTCTAAAGTAAACTAAATCATGATCCCTTAGAAATAAGACCATATGTGACAGATCTAGAGAAGACAAAGGAGTTTGGTGAAGGTGATAAATGCTATTTCACGTTCAAGAAGTGTCCAAAAATGAAATCTGTGCCAGGAGACTAATAGACAGCTACATGCAGCACTATGACACAGAGTAATATAATGGTGTGCATTTCATGTCAAACAAAATTCAATCTTGCATCTGAAAAGAGGACTGTGCTACAGAAATAACTAAGCATACTTTTACAAATCTGTTGTCACGGCATAGCAGCATTTGCTTTGAGCATCGTATCACAAGCACTTCAAAACATCTCCAACCTCTATATAAACCTTGTAATCATCAATAATGTGAAAATACATTTCAATCTCTTGCTGTTTCTACAGAAACAATACACACCATTCTGTACACATATGCTCTATCATTGTACTCACTGGCAATTAGCCAAGATAAGATGATAAGGAGAGGTGTTTCAAAGATCATTATTATGTACTGCAGGATAATACTTTACATGAACCTCATCAAATGGCAGTACCCTTGACACATCAATACCCTGGTAGGATTTCATGTTGATGACTGTAGCTTTGTATCTTTCTGGATCAAAGAGAACATATTTCATTCTTCCATTACATTCCTACACTATCAACCATTATTATGTGCGTATCAAAAGAACATAAACCCAAGTCATTATACTATTTAAACTATGAGGGATCGATACACCCGTTATTTAAATTCTGGTCAGCTTGCAATAATGAAAACAAAAGTATTTGTAGCTTCTTGGTAGGTTTCACTCTTAAAATCTGTATAATGATGAGCCAAACATAATAGCATGTAATACATTCTGTTCAGCAAATGACCTTCAGCCAATGACCTTCATCAAAGCATGTGGAGCTGTACTTCTCAGTCACTATGCAGCATAGGCATACACGTACATATAACATAGGATATGAAACCATCAAGTAGTCTCTGATAGAAGAAACCTAACCTTAATGGAGAAATAAACACTTGATAAAATCATACTTGAGATGGTATACAGTATAACTGGTTAGTCAATCACTACCCTGATTTGTAATTAAAGAATTTACAAGAACTCATCAAGTTTAGATATTTCAAGAGTAAGTTAGCAAACATTTGAAGTATTCAATTTTGCTGCTGATAAAGAAATAATTTCTGTCTTCTTTAACTTTCAATTGCAATATTATCTGTTTGGAGCCAGGAGGGCATTAACTCTGTGTAGAGTGATATTAGTTAGCAACCTTCTGGTTCCAAACAGACCATATCAAAGCATACTGATGAATAAAAACTGTAACTTTACCTTAAAACGCTAACCATTCAAAAAATACAACAGATTGAAACAGGTGTAATCAATAATGTTTCCAACAGTAATAGCATAAGACATTGAAGAATGAGGGATACATTTTAACATTTTTTAAAATCCAAAACATTCTGGTGACTTATGACACAGAATTTCAGTCAGTAACCCTGCTCATTGTTGATAGTCCAAGGAAACATATTGAGATATAGTTTCAAATTAATTTACAAAATATCAATCAATCTGAAAATAACAGAAACTTGATCAATGCTGCTATCTACAACTCAGCGAATCATTGCCTCCATAATCAATATGATTAATTAAGAATTACTTCTGAAGTCACCGCCTATCTCTCCGGTCCCTAGATCCCCTCTCTCTACTTCTATCCATTTGCTCTCTATCCCTACTACTATGCCTATCTGATACGTACTCTTCCTTCTCATATCTTCTATCTCTTCTTTCTCCATGTTCATTAGAATTCCTTTTACCATCATCCTCTCTATTTCTCTTTCTATCTATCGGATTGGAAGACTTGTTATCTCTGCTTCTTATCTCTTCTCTTGGTTCTTCTCGCCTTTTTCTCTCATCTCGTTCTGGTCTTCCTCTATGGTCTCTTTGCACATTATTTACCCCTCTCTGTTCATCACTCTTCTCACTCTCCTTTTCACTATCTTCCTCTTCCTCACTATCATCACTATCACTGTCATCACTGTCACTGCTGTCTTCACTTTCGCTTTGTTCTTTCGCAGGCTCAGGATGCTCTCTCTTGCGCTCTTCCTCTTTCCTACGTGAAGATGAAACTTCTTCCTTTTCACTCTCTTCGCTATCACTATCATCACTATCACTACTATCATCACTATCACTCTCACTTTCATCACTGTCACTCTCATCACTGTCTTCTTGTGTAGTCTTAGTAGTCTTTAATTCATTTGCTCTTCTCTGTTCGTCCCTCTCAAGATTGCTCTCAGCTTTTCTCTTTTCCTCTCTCCTACCATCATCTTTCTTCTCTTCCACCTCGCTCTCTTCCTCACTGCTGGAATCCTCACTTGAGTTTTCCTCACTACTGTCCTCCTCTTCACTGCTTGATTCTTTTACCTCTTCCTTCTTTTTCCTTTGATCCCCACGTTTCTGATCATTTGTGCTTTCTATTCTCTCATTTGCTCTCTCTCTTTCTAATTTGTCTATTCTATCCCTATCATGTCTTGCCAAGTCTTCTCGATCATTATGTCCTCTATCATCAATTCTTGGTCTTCTTACTTCTCTCTCATCTCTTCCTTGCCTTGATCTACTATTGATTTCATTTTCCTCGCTTTCTGTATGCCTTCTACTACTCCCACTTCGGCTTCTACTTTCAGTCTCCATCCGTTCTTCCCTTTCTCTTCTTTCATTTCTATCACCATCCCTAGACCTATCATTGTCCTGCCTATCTTCATGTCTTCTTTCTTCCCTTCCCTTTCTCCTTTCATCTTTTCTTTCTTCTCCTCTCCTTCTACTATCTTCTCTTTCATCTCTGAAGCTTTGTTCTTTAGACCGTCTTGTGTTTTTTTCATCTGAACTATCTTCTCTTACCTTTCCCCTCCTCCTATCTTCATCTCTTCCTCTCCTCTCATTCTCCATTCTATTCCTTTTCTTCTCTGGCATCTCTTCTCTGGAACCCTTATCTTTAGACCGACGGGTATCTTCCTCATCTGATGATACACTTCTTTCCCTCCTTCTCTCCTCCTTTCCATTTTTACTTCTTTTCCTCTCTGCTACCTCTCTGTTGCCTTTGCCTTCAGACCTTCTTATATCTTCGTCATCTGAAGATACTTCTCTTTCCCTCCTTCTCTCCTCCTTCTTATTTTTACTTCTTTTCTTCTCTGCTACTTCTCTGTCGCCTTTGCCATCAGACCTTCTTATATCTTCGTCATCTGAAGATTCATCTCTTCCCCTCCTCCTTTCTTCAACTCTCTCCATTCTCTCTTCATCTTTTTTACTTCTTTTCTTCTCTGGAATTTTATCTCTGCGACCTTTATCTCTAGACCTTCTCGTACTTTCCTCATCTGAAGATGAATCTTTTTCTCTCATTCTGTCCTCTTCCCTCCCTCTTCTATCATCCGTCTTAGTCTTTGTCTTCTCTTTTCCTTTGGACTTGTTGGACCTGTTATTTTCATCATCTGATGATACATCCTGATCCCTTTCTCTTCTTCTTTCCTCACCTCTCCCTCCCCTTTGATCTTCTTTCATCATTCTCTGTCTTTCATCTTTCCTTCCTCTTCTACTATGTCTTTCATCTTGTTCTTCTTCATCATCTCCCCTTTCCTGTCTACCTCTTGAATTATCTTCTCGCTTTCTTTCATTTCTATCTTTATCTTCTCTTTGCTTTTCCTCCCTTTTGTTTCTCCTATCTCTATCCTGCTTTCTTCCATCTTTAACAGACTCTTCTTCCATACCATGTTTCTTTCTTTCATCTCTGCTTCTTTCCTTTTCTTTTCTTCCGACTTCCTTACCTTCGTCACTATCCTCTCTGTTTATCCTCTTTTCCTTATTCCTTCTTTCCTCTCTTTCATCTTCCCTCCTTAGTTGTTCCCTAAGCCTATTTGCTAGTTCTTCATCACTACCCTCTCGGTTTCTTCTCTTTTCCTTACTCCTTCTTTCCTCTCTTTCATCCTCCCTCCTCAGTTGTTCTCTAAGCCTAGTTGCTAGTTCTTCATCACTATCCTTTTCCTCTACTTCTCTATTATGTTTTCTTTGATCTCCATCCCTTTCCCTTCCTCTTTCCCTATGTTTACCATCATCCTCTCTTCTCGTCTGTTTGTCATCACCCCTTCTCCTTTCCTTCTCACCTTCTCTTTCCTTTCCCCTTCGACTAGGTCTCTCCTGTTCATGTTCTGCTTCACGACGTCTATCCCTGTCCTCTCCACGATGTCTATCTCTATCTCTTTCTTTCTGTGAAATATTATTAATTAGTTCTTCACCATCTTCACTCTCACTTTGTACCTCCCTCTGTCTTCGATCTGATTTCTTGTGTCCTTGTTCTCGTCTGTGGTGGGAGTCTGGTTTGGTTTGGCGCTTTTTCTCTTCTCTCCTGGGCTTTTCAGACTTTCTCTTTCTCCTTCTTCTTTCATCATCGCTTCCTGTTTGAAAAAAAAATACAAAACAAAATTATATTCATGTTGTTTTCTCCTTTTTTTTATGCAGCTGACTATTTGTCCAAAATGTATAACAGGAATATTAAAGGAAAACTACTCTATTCTATTCACTGACAAAGCATTAAACGATATCCAACTCAATCATATTAGACACACACATATAGGCATCACTTGTTCAATCTTCATTTCCATCTTCTGAAGGTGCCACATATGGAATCTAATGATGTAGAATATTTTCATGTTTTGTAGAGTAATGAAAATTAAGCCTTTTTCCATAAAGTCTTACCAGAGATCTCACTTTCGGATTCCTCATCTGAAGATTTGTCTTCGTTCCCACTATCCGTTGATTCCTTCCTTCTCCTTCTCTGCTTCTTTTCCTTCTCCTTCTTTTTCCTTCTTTTACTTCTGTCTGCCTCTTCACTATCCTCGCCGCTACTCTCCTGTCTCTTCTTTTTCTTCTTCTTCTTTCTCTTATCTTCTTCCTCACTTTCTTCACTGCTACTCTCTTCTTCTTCCTCCTCCTCACTATCGTTATCATCGCTGTCACTCTCTTCTAAGGGTTGCTGCTGCTGCATGATCTGTCGCTGGAAGTTCTTCAGATGATCACGTAGATCATCCCTATGGAAGTAATGAATTATGATTCAATCAACATAAGTGGTGTATTGAATTAATTCAATCTTTTAAGTAGTCATTTCCAACTTGTATGCTGTATTTTCAATCAGATTCTGATTCAAATGGCAGAAATAACTTTGACAGATATTACAGATATAACATGAGAAAGTTTTTAAAGTATCAAAAGCAAGAGATCCTACAAAGAAATCACAAGCTAAAATTGTATAAATTTGAAAATGTAGGGGGGGGCTTTGTTGAAGTTATGTCATTCTCCACATTCACTGTGGTAAGACTTTCCACCAATCAAATCAATGCTTTCATCCATGCAGAGAGACTTTGCCCTTTAAACAGATACACAGAGACAAATTACGTGAGACAACTCTGTTTGTGTACTTTAGAACAGATACGAAGAGACATATAACTTACGTGAGACAACTCTCTGTGTGTGTACTTTAGAACAGATATGAAGAGACATAACTTACATGAGACAACTCTGTATGTGTACTTTAGAACAACAATAATAATAATAATATTGGATTCTTATATAGCGCACGTATCAAACTTGCAAGGTCCTCAAGGCGCTCCAACATTAACCGGCTATGCTAGGCTGCCGATTTCGACGCTCACAGCATTTAAAGGAATTCCTTCCTACTGGTACCAATTTAACACCTGGGTGGAGAGTGGCAAATGTAGATCAATGTCTTGCCAAAGGACATTAGTGCCGCGGCGGGACTCAAGCCGCGGACCTTGTGATTGACAGTCCGCCGACGTATCCACTCATCCACGACACCTCCACGGATACAGAGACAGAGAGACACATAACCTACGTGTGACAACTCTCTCTGTGGACTTTATGAAAGCTTAGAAGAGACATATAACTTACGTGAGACCTCCAAGACCAATGGTGGTGAAGAAGTTGATGGCAAATCTTGTATGAGCAGGGTTGTTCCTAGGTAGCATGCCTTCAAAGAATGGCATTAGGGTTCTGTACACAAGCACAAACATATATCTAAGTTAGTGGGACCAGTATAGGTACAAATAAAAACACAAAGGTGACAAACAGGTGAGCATTAGGAATATGACATAGTTTTGACAATATCAAAGCTAACATGTGTACAGCCTATGTGTAATATTGCCCATTTCACGTCTAAATATTACAGACATAGTACAATTTGATATTATTTAATAACATCTAATAAACAGGAAGAATTATTTCAAGCTTTATAATTTATGGAGTGACATTGAATAACTCTGAGGAAGAGATTTCTAGGTCTTTTCAACACCTAAGTTTGCCTAGAGAAGATGGACAAAAAAAAATCAATGGGCACATTACTATCAAAGGCAACATGGATAGGAAATTGTATTTAATTGCTCCAAAATACTCCAAAATAAAAAACAGAACAACACACAGTACTTACGCATCTTTGAGTCTGTCATTGAGTTTTGGAAGTCCCATGTACTCTGATAGTTCTTGGAAGAGAATCTTAATGAAGATACGACTTGAAGAAGTGGTTTCCTCCTCATTCAGATGAATGCTTTCAATGACCTGTGTGATAAAAGATATTCCTAATGTTAGCAGTAAGAATAAAGTGGACGCTTATAACAAACTCACATTATAACAAGCTAGTTTACCAGTAACACTTCTTCATATCATATTGTGTTCAAGCCATGATATAATATAATTTCTTATAAAAGGCGGTAATACACTGGTTCCAACGAGTTTATTGATAGTACATATCGATAGTATGAAATCGCACTGTATTACAGTTTCACTATAATATATACCAGGTATGAGAAAGTGAAAGACAGACTGAGATATTGAGAGAGAATGAAAGGATAATCGAAAGTCAGGTTTAACATTACTTTAAGCAACAAATGGGATCTTGGAAGCTTATTTCAGTAAACTATCTGCTACTGATAAATACACCCCTTCCACTGTAATACCTGAAAGCTACATATGGGTAGAAGAATAGCTCTTTGATGGGATTGCTTTTATATCTGTTTGCAGTTGACCTAGCTGTTGAACAGGTGTTGGTTTGAAACCATCAATCTTAAAACATCTATTCACCACTCAAATGATTGCATTCTTGTGTACAACTTAAGAGCTATTTATTGGCTGTTTTTTTTTCCCCTGGTAGCAACTTAACAATCTTCCAGGATGAATAATTAAATAGTGCATACACTATCATGTGAAGTTTGTGCAACCCACTTTAAATACAGGAGTAGGCAACCTTCATAGGTGTACGGGTTGTCTGTCCATCTGCCTATGCAGGCAACCCAAATGCTAACTATGCAAGAGCCCTGTCATGACTACATACATACCGTCCATGAGATGGCATCTGTGAAGAGCAGATGAGAGAAGAACTTGGCCACATTCCTCAGTTTGTTGGTATCTAGACGATGACATGTATCATACTGCTCACCAAAGATCCCTTCATATTCCCTTACATACTCCTGCTTCAGCTGACAGAACCTCTGCACATCACCAAAAACACAAAAAGATAGTCATGTCATTATGGTAATAACCAAGATTAATTATCATTAAAAGTGGTGTAATTAAGATTCAACACTAAAATGTCAATTAGATCATCATACTTCAAGAATAATCATTCATCTTCCAACAGCTGTCCACATGGTCAACATCTATGGATTCTTCTTGATCTGCAAAATATTGGATAATGAATGACTTTCGTTATAAATCGCATGAAAGAAAAAAAAGTGAAACTAAAAAATTTGATTAAAATCTGGACGCTTTAAGCCGGTAAGTAAAACTTGATTGTGACAACATGATATCTGGTTCTCAGCTTTGAACATTAAGCCATTTAATCCTATTTGATTTCATGAGTCATCTCTAGATGGTTCGTAAGCCTAATATGATGGTAGTATTCAACAAGTTATATGTATTGTGTATGTCTTGCTATAGATTTGAAAGTAGGGGTAAGTACCTGTCCTAATAGTCCAAAGAACTTCTCATACGTCCTCTGTTGAGCACAGCAATCCAGGATCATGAGACACACTTCTTTCTGTATTGGAAAAATGAAAGACAAGAGAGAACATAGGACATGGCACATATATATTCAATATATATAATGCATCTGTTGAGAGCCAGAAGGGTGTTAAGTGTATTTTAAAGCGATACTGAACTGATGAACTTTCTGCCCTAGCATACTGTTTATTGCACGTCGCCATCTCATGGTCAAATTGCCAACAGTGCGTAACCCAATCCCTAATTCTCACTTCACATACAGAGGACTGGATGCGAGAACCAACGGCGCCCCTAGGGAAGCAGCGAGTTACAGGACCATACTGCTACAGCTGACCTAAGGTGGCACTAGAGGGGATTTCAATGGATGATGTATTTCTGCACTCAGGCATGATAATGCTTAACATATCTTTGTTTTCAATATTTGTCTCTTTGGAAATATCAACCTTGCTATATCAGCAAAGAATTAGTACTCACAGTATTTAGGATATTTCTCCGAACAACATAACCTTTCAATAAACATAAGTGGAGAGAGAGAGTACTGTAGACAGGCCAAAATTCACAAAGTAGATTTGTCATAATCCATAGTTCGAACCTTCATAAGCAAATCTTTCCTCTCGCAACCTTCTATCCACTTTCAAAACCCAACTGAAGACATACCTATTCTATATCGTTCACAACTAGCCGCTACTCCAGTCTCTCCCAGGGGAATCATGAACAGTACATTGAGTAGGTTTTTAGTCTCCTTAGCGCCTTTGATTAGGCAACTATATATTGGCGCTCTACAAATTTCTGGATTGGATTGGATTGGATGTCTAATGGCCAATAATAACGGCATGATTAAATGCTTATTTAAGCTTATGTTAGTTTGTGATAGAGTTTTAAAAAACATAATTCAGGTCATGGTTTAAAGCCACTGCACTACTTATAGCTACTTGCACCCTCTATATAGCTAACAATGCATAATCAGTGCCTGTTGGTCCCCCATGATCCCTCTTTTGTTATGTTAATGAGAGCTGATTTGATGAGATAACCACCTGTCAGTGACCTTGCAGGGAGGTCTAATCCCCCTTGCCAAACTAGTGCAGACCAGCTTTAAATACCCTCCTTCATGAATTCAACCGCACAGCGAGTGTCCTACCTCTTGGCCTGGCTTCAACTCCATCTTGAGCATCTTATGAGTGCACTCCTCAAAGTCAAGACTGGACTGGATGGTGAGGTAGATGATACGTCTTAGAGCCGTCAGGTTCGTCTCGGTCTTATCCTGTATCTCCATCTTCTCTTGTTCTGGCAATCATAACAAAATGAGATTAGTGAGAGAGAGAGAGAGAGAAAGGTAAAGAAGGGCGAGCAGCCAAAGTAATGAAGAAAAGAAGAAAGGAATGATGACAAAAAAGTCCAATGGAAGGTCATAAGACATCAAGGACAATACAGACATCAATAACAATAAAAAGGTAGGAACCATTTGTACTTTGCTTTGTTTTCTTTGAATCCCAACTTCCTTTGATGAGTCAAAATTATGTACCTCATATAGAATAAAGAAATAAGATAATGTTGACACTTGGGAACAGCTCATTTAGAGTGACACAAGACATTTATTTTACAGAGAATTAATATATAACCAAGTAACCCTCTATATCAAACAAAGTATTAAGCCTCCAATTTTACAATTTCATATTGTGTTGCTTTTAGTGCTTCCAATTAAAATGGAATGTAAAGAAAGGACAAAAAGTAGACAGTTTCATAAAAATTTGCTCCTGATATGCATTTAGTACAGCATAAACTTCATCTTACACTATGTTCATGATATTGTATCCTTTATCTATAAAGATATTCCAGTGCTCTGCTTGTATCAATATATACTATACACCTACATCTTCTTAGTTGTGAATAAAGGATGTTTGGGTAAGAAGTTTACCTGCTGCTTCTTGTTCATCTGAATCTTCTTCACTGGATCCGCTCTCACCACCTGATCCAGAATCCTCACTGTCTTCATCTAAGATCTCTTTACGGATTGCTTTGTATTTCTCTTCATTCTCTAGAAACTCAGGATCAGCCTTGAAAACATCTTGATAGAGCAATAACAACAGTGAAAGATATATTATTGCATATTATCAGAATTAATCTCACCTCATTTATCAATTTTTTGGTCTATCTCTTCGTTTACAAGAGAATCTGGATCCTGCAACAAGCAACAAAGAAACAAAGAAAGAAACAAAGAAAGAAAACAACAACCAAAAATTTGTTTTGTTCTGACACATTGAGTGATTTCAAGTTGGGTGTTTAGGGCTGGTGTTAGTGTTTATAAAACACTAACACCAGCTTAAACGCCGAAATGGAAATCAGCTGGTGTTAAGGCTTTGACCTCTGAATATCGTCAACTTCCGTTAGCTAGTGTTACTGATTTTGCAAAATTGTCGTCTGCTGAACCGACCTTTGTGGCTGGTTTTAATATTTTATGTACAAATTTCCCATTCACTAACACTAGCCCCTAGGGAATAAGCAAATATTGATTTACAGTTCGGTGTTAGTGTTGTACCTGCACAACAGTCAACGGACGATCAATGCTAATTTATTGTCTGACGATCAAATGAAAATATGTGAAACAGGTCCTTTATGTGTTTCATATATTCTTTTGTGTGAATTTAGTTATTTCAGAAGACCAGAAAAATAAGTGTGAATTTATTCTGTGCTTTTCATGATATCTTTAGTTTTGATGTATTATTTCTAAATCATCGTCATGAAACTAAGTCTGTGTGTCGATGTCAAAGCTGGTGTTAAGCTATCGATATTAATATCGGTATCCGGCTCTTAATTTCATCAGCAAATTTGTAGCTCGATTTAAGAGCTCTTGACTGCTCTAAACACTAACAGTAACACCCAACTTGAAATCACTCATTGTATGACCAAAATGCAATGATACAAAATTAGATCTTCTTTTTCGTACGTCCATCTTGTCTGTACCGTAATCCTCATCAAAGTTCAGTAGATGAGTTTACCGTTAACCCACCTTTCTACGATCCCCTCCAAAGTATGAGAACAAAAACATGCCAATATGAATCACGCATAGGGGTTTGTTCTACTTACTGAGTATATCTTCTGTTTGGTAATCATCTTCAAGTGTGAGTAGATGAGTGTACTGGTCATCTTCCTCTACCAAGTCCAGCTCTTCAATGACCGCAGGAAACTCCTTGAAACCATCCTTACGATTGGCAAAGATAACCTCTACCATGTACTGAACTCTCTTCTCTATCTTAGCCTCATGAAGGATGCTACGCAGTCTCTCAAAGATGGCTGAAACAATATCAAAGAATGAATTCATTATCTCAAATATCTATATAATCATAGAAGGTCGTATTCATGGAAAGAAGAAGAAGAAAAGGGGAAGACCTCGTAAAGGCTTTCTAGACGATGTAATCACACAATGTGGAGCAACAGGGTATGAAACGATGAAACGGTTGGCTCAAGACCGAGGAACTTGGAGAGACACTTAATATAGAATTTTGAATGGGTCACTGAACCTGTCATAAACTGACAGATCACTATTGATGATGAATCAATAAAATAGTGGCTGATGGAATTACAAGCACAATTAACATCTGAGACAATCCTTTAAATGGAAAGGTGCTTTGTGGTATCAGTACTCCTAAGGTCCCAAGAGTACTTAGGATTTACAGAAGGTCAAGAAACAAAATACAATACAAAGCACTGTAAACTGTAAGAGGGACTCTAGCTTATCTTATTTCATATCTGTCATCTCAAAACATTTCATCTAGAAAAATGGGGAGGGTCTGTCTCAAAGCTTCCCTACACAACTTTCAAAGATTTAGAGAAGATATTTGTTCTTACCCATGATTCCTCTTGGTGAAAGTTCTGTTAGTTTCTGTCCGACTTCCTTGAGGAACCCCACTGCTACTTCCACACTGTCATCTGTAGCTTGCTCTAACAACAGGGTTAGGATCTCCAGGGACACTACCTCATGAGCCTGGGAAAAGCAGTATGACAAACAAATCTCAATGTATCAATGTTATGAAATCATGATGTTAACAAGTCATTATTTGTTCTTTCAAACATCCTGTTTTATATGCAACATTAAGAAATAACAGGATGTTGTTTCCTCACTCATTCATCCACACAACTTGATATGAACAAGATGCCTGTGCTGCATACAGGAATACCATAATCATGTAACTTAAAGATAAATAAACCGAGGCCTATATTTACTATATGACAGAATGAATAGCGAGCCTGATTTGAACATGGGATTAATAGCCTTTTTCAAAACACAGAAATAAACAACAATTTTATCATGAAGGTTTGGATAATTAGAAAAAAGATCTATGACATATCAAAATTCAATTGAATTTGGTAGAACTCTCTTCTTATTCCCAAATTCATTTTCATAAAATGAACAATTGGAATAAACACAACTTTTCATGTATAAACTTTACATTCAAAAGGGGTTGTGAGGAGATAGAGAGTAAATTAGTTTGGATTGACAGTTTCATTCTTTAAAAAAACAATTTGTCTCCTTTTTTCTCAGCATAAACACACATTTTTCCTTCAGAGAGACAAATTTCTTTTTCAGACTGTGAAATAACCAGACAAACAAGGTTGTGCCAGAACTACTTAAAGGGATACGGTAACTTTGTCTCAGATTCTGAAATAAAATTCTGGATTTAGCTCATGATGCAATGATAACTAGAAATATCGCAATCTGTATTGCCACGCAATGCGAATGTATCCCCCGGCAGTGGCAGTGATTTTGTGTTATCCTTATGTGGAAGGAGGGACAAAGATTCCCTCTCCTCTTTGTGAAACAAAAGGATGACGTAGAGATTGCCGCAAGTGGCTCAGACTATTGTCAAGACTAGGAGCAGCATCACCAAAACAATAGGTGTGTAGATCAGATTATGATGCATATTTATAGAAAATTTGAAAGAAATGTGATTTGCATAGCGACACAAGATATTCCTTTAAATATGACCTTTGACCCTATAAGAGATGGAATACTGGGGGGTAGCAGCACCAAATTTGTGGAGGTCTAGAGTAAACTATAATGAACCTTAATACAAGCAGCATCACTAAAATCTATAGGCTTGTAGATTATACCAAGATACACCTTTGTTCAAAATTTGAACAAAATCCCTTTAGAAATGTGGCCTATAGAGCGCACACAAACAAAAATATGGCCTTGTACCCTATAGAAGGCGGAACACTGGGGGCAGCATCACCAAAAGTTATAGGTATGTAGATTATACCAGGATACACCTCCATACAAAATTTGAAAGAAATCCGTCAAGAAATGTGGCAGTTAGAGCGCACACTAGAGTGCACACAAGACATCTATCAAAATATGACCTTTGACCCTATAAAAGACGGAACATTGGAGGCAGCATCACTAAAATCTATAGGCTTGTAGACTATACCAAGATACACCTTCGTTCAAAATTTGAACAAAATCCCTTTAAAAATGTGGCCTATAGAGCGCACACAAACCATCCACAAAAATATGGCCTTGTACCCTATAGAAGACGGAACACTGGGGGCAGCATCACCAAAAGTTATAGGTATGTAGATTATACCAGGATACACCTCCATACAAAATTTGAAAGAAATCCGTCAAGAAATGTGGCAGTTAGAGCGCACACTAGAGTGCACACAAGACATCTATCAAAATATGACCTTTGACCCTATAAAAGACGAAACATTGGAGGCATCATCACTAAAATCTATAGGCTTGTAGATTATACCAAGATATACCTTCGTTCAAAATTTGAACAAAATCCCTTTAAAAATGTGGCCTATAGAGCGCACACAATCCATCCACAGAAATATGGCCTTGTACCCTATAGAAGACGGAACACTGGGGGCAGCATCACCAAAAGTTATAGGTATGTAGATTATACCAGGATACACCTCCATACAAAATTTGAAAGAAATCCATCAAGAAATGTGGCAGTGAGAGCGCACACAAGAATATGACGCGGCGGCGGCGGCGGCGTAACGCTGCTGAATCCAAAGTACCCCACCGGCATACTGCCGGGGGATACAATTATAAACCTTTAGGTCAGCCAGGAACCCCATGACTTTTAAAAGCCGATCGCCTGTCTGATTATCGAGATATTTATGATTGAATTTACAAATTTTGAAAACCGTTCGCCTGACGGTTTTCATAACACTACAGTCTATTGGGGAAAACGAGTATGGTAAAACCGGTCACTCAAAGACTTTTACTTTTTTGAGGCACTTCTTGATCGTTTTGAAGCGCAATTTTTTTAGGGCTTTAATATTACACCATATCACATACACTGATAACACGTAGGGCCGTGTATCTCAGATTTAACATTGTTAAACGATCCCTTTAATATCACTTCCTCTATCGTCACATCATTACAATCCTGATTCTGGGTGACATAATTGAGGGTTTGGATCTTACCACTTGCTGGTTGACCAAGTGAGCAATAAACCTGGTTGAGGAGAGACAAAGCTTCTTGTCATTACGGCGATAACCCTTCTTGAAGTTAGTGATGAGTCTTCGCAAGATGAGTTCTCCATTTTGTGGAAACTGTAAGGAAACAGAAGAGGAAAATCCTGATTTATATACAGTACAAAGGTGGTGGTCAATGTTTCCATATTGTTCATGCTTTTTTGTTTCTAATCTTCACATTATTTGCCAAACACCGAGGATACAATGCAACAGTATATATGTGACACCTAAATCCCACATAATAGAACAAGTATAGTCTTTCATAGGAGAGCTTACTTGTATGTGAGGCTTACCTTTGTATTGATGATGGCAATAAATGCTGCATACACATGAGTGAAGGTAGGTGAGGCAGACTGAGCATCAACCACTGCTTTAGCTAACCAACCACTGTAGGCAAGACAGAATTATTAACAGTTATATATCAGTAATATACAAAACATGCAAAATCATTATAAGATCATTATACAAGGTACATAAAATCAGGTACTAACTCATGATATAATACATAGCGTGCCCATTAAGCAACTATTAACAGAGAGGCAGTTCACACCGGCAGAGATAGCGCGCGCTAGACCGCGCTATCCCTGCGGTTTGGAAGGTACAACGTCGTTTCGGTCCGCCCAACAGCGAGCCACGGCGAGCCAAATGGCGTGCCACTGGAGCACCTCTTGGGGGTGGTCCACGAGAGATAGCGCGGTCTTGCGCGCGCTAGAAAAAAGGGGGTGCTACGATAGACCGCGCTATCTCATTGCGGTGTGAACAGCCTCAGAGAGATCTTAACTGCGTTGCACATGGCCCCTTATAATTGGAAGAAATCCATCTTTGGTGAGACAGCAAAAGAAAATTGTGATGATGTACTTACTATAGCTCTTGAAGGCTTACAAAACTGAAAATGTCTAAAATACAATGTCAAAAAATATCTCCTTCTTAATGCATCTCTGAAAACCAACTTTTAATGGAACAACATAATAGTGCAAGCAGGTCACCTAAAATCTTATTGATAGACATATTATACAGATGGTGCCTTCTCACACCATTGCCAGTGTTATACTACACCATGATATTCCCACATTGGCTTTACTTCGCATGGTTGGGTTTTCTTTCTTATCACAGATTACATCATCCATGACAGTACAACTTCACACGTATAGTCACAGATGATGCTTTACAATAACCATTATCTAATTATGATGTGATGATAACATACCGTCCTCGTACAATGTTGAGCTGTAGCATCTCTTGTACAATCAAACCAAGATTGGAGATGTTAGCCTTGTTCACCAGACCATTGATACTCTTCTTTAGTGCTTCCCATGAAATCCTCTGATATGCAACACTGTAATGAGAACAAGTGAATAAATCAGTTTTACATTGTCAAGGTGGCTGGTTTGAAGTTACTTACTCCGATCATCATCTTCTTGATTTATCACATGACTGTTTCCCAATGTGTAGTAGAAGTAAGAGCCATGCTGTGGCCTCTATCTCTAAGGTCTCTAGCTCTCGGTGCATGTGATCTCTTACTCTGACGGTTAAGGAGGCAAATATTTGAAAGACTTGTGTTTCCAGGGAGAGTAATGTTATTCCACCACACTGTTGAGAATTATCATCAATCATAAACATAATCCAAACTACTATCTTTGCAGATGTACTTTTGTTTAGATGCGAAGATGAAACACTTAGATATTGATGACATTTGTTTATCAACTGGTTAAGAAGGAGGGTTAAAAACAAGGTGAACACATTTGATAAAAACACACTTTACAGTCCACATGTGTACATTAGAGTTTCTAAATACAAGAATCTATTTAGTTTTGTTTTACCTTGTTTTATCAGTAATCTGTGCTTGCATCATCCTTAGTTTAGCTGGAGGGATATAAGCTCCACCTGTTCTCGTGAGAAGAGGATCGATTTCTGGCTTCTTCTTCTTGGGAGGTGGAGCAGCATTCTCCTTGTTCTCCTCTCCATCATCTCTTCTTCTCCTACAAAGACATAATCATTCAAAACAAACAGCTTTCTTACTGGTTACGTATGGAATGGACAGATCGTACAGAGACAGGTTATTTCATTGAAATATTTGAAAGTGCAATTTACATTGTTCATTATGGGATGACAATGCCCTTCCAGATTAGAGGCTCTGTTCAGAGTTCCTCTGCCTGATACCACACTTGTAGGGCAACATGCTAAACCTGCTCACAAAGGAAAACACCAAAGAATTATCATAGCAAGCACATGATCATCTATCAGACTAGAACTGTAAAAATTACATAGTTTTCCAATATAGAGTTGACCAAAAGTCAACTTGGAAGATAAGTTGTACACTTACCGTCGGCTGTTATCTTGGTCTCTGTCTTCATCACGCTTCCTTCTCTCTTCCTCCTCTTCTCTAAATCTTCTATTCCTGAATCTTCTCCTTGCATCTTCATATCCTCCTGTCTCCTCGACCTCTCCCTCCTCTAATCTGTCTCGCCTAGAACCGCCTCGGAACCGGTCCTCGTACTTGTCTTTCATCCTGCTGTAGTGGCTTGGTGAAAGAGATCTATCTCTTCGATCGCGTTCCTCTCCCCTAAAATACATTGGATAAACAAGTTCATAATTAACATCTGGTAAACAAAAAATAAGCATAACATATCATCTTGAACGATAAGATCTTAGGAAAGGGGATTTGGTATTTCAAATTTTAGATACGAATATGAGGTATATGGTGTGAATTCCTTAGAGACTTCAGTGAACAAGGATGACAACCTTTATGCACAATCCTTCTAGTTTCTCGGTCTCAATCAAGCCAAGCTCCCCCCTTTATTCATTATCACATGATAAAGGTAATGAGATCAGAGATGATAAATGAGAAGTCATTTCATACGAACCTGGGCCTGGATCTATCACCATCTCGTCCTCTTCTGTCTCTCTCCTCTCTATCTCTTCCTTCCCTCCTGCGATCACGGTCTCTATCATGTTCCCTCTCTCTATTTCTCCCTCGTTCTCTATCCATGCTATCCTGATCCTTATCCTCCTTCCTCCTCTCTTCTCTGTCTCCATCCTGGTCCATCTCACCATCTTCATCTCCTCCTTCTGTCTCTCTCACGTTGCCATGGATGATGTTGCTACCCACTGCACTCTGCATCTTCTTCCCTCTTCCATCTTCATCATCAGAGGCATAGTCCCTGCAATATAAATTAAATATAATAAATATAAATTCTTAAATGACCATTTAAGAATGAATTATCATTCACCTACAAGTACTGAGAAAATCATAAAGCTATCCCTGGACAGGAAAAGCTGCAAATTAGTTAGAATTTTTAACATTTACACATCGTATCTGACAGCTCAGGCAAGACTCGAAGTACAGCTGGGTGAATGACATGAGCAATAAAGAAGATGCACACTATCATTGTCAACCATATGAGCCTCAGGGTTCATTTTCCCTTGTGTGGATATTGACCCTGTACAATCACCAATAATCTAGTACAAATATGTTTCTTCTCTTACCAGCTTCGTCTGTCCTCTACTGGTTGCTCATTGCTTAGTAGAACACTTTTCACCCTTCGTTCTCTCCAGGAAACACTACTCTCACTGTCATCACTGTCACTGTCAAACCTAGCTGGCTTCCTTTGCTGCTTCTGTTGCACGGTTGGTTCTGGGATGCTGAGGAATTAACATGAATAAGATTCCAAAACATACAGTCCATTAAATACATGATGATGAAATACACAATAAACATATTTCCCAATGTTTCCAACTTATTTTGAATAGTACATGTACTTTGCTTTGTATGAAAATATTTAAATAATAAAAAAATAATGTTAATGTCGACCTGACAATTCACAACAATGTTTTCCTTGGTCATACATTTACACTAACCTTCAGATAAAGGATATCATATGAATGTCCTACTTTAGGAATATGCCAATTTCTTAAATCATTGAAAAACACCATTTGGATAAAGCATTTGTGAAATACAAAAGTGGATGATCACACATTACTTCTCATAACTCATTTTATTAATTTTATTTGGTACCATTTCCTTAAGAATCAAATCATACACGTGCTTACTGAGTTAATGCTTACCCTTCTTGCAGTGTCTCAATATCTGAGTCCGCACCAACTGAGAGCTCATCATCAGATTTGTGTCTTCTATTAATGACTCCATCATCTTCTCTCCTTCTTGACCTTCCATCTTCAGTATCATCACTCTTGACAGATTTCCTCAAATGAGGCTTGTCCCTACTATCCACACCTTCTTCATCTGATAAAGATCTGTCCTTTTTCTCTTCTACCTCCTGTTTATCCCTCCTTCTCTCATTTTCCCCTGAACTCTGTCTCCGGGTTGATCTACGTCTTGGGGATGGGGACCTTCTTCCCGTCCTCCCATGCTCATCTCCAGCATCCTTCTCTCTTCTCCTGGATTTCTTTTCCCTTTCTGGGATTGGTGATGCTTCACTGGAAGATGTGGAATCACTGGAATCTCCCTCACTACACACAAAAAAGAATAAAGCCACGGTTGGTTGGTGAGCACTTTGGTGCTTCATTCAAGGGTGTTACACACTCTTCCCCATAATCATTTTTAAAGTTCTTAAATTTGTATAATGTACAGCCATAGATTAACCTGCTGCGGTTTGTGGACACTTAAGACAAAATCCCCAAGTCCATATTGTTACTGTTTGAACGAAAGAAAATTCTTAAAATGGAAACATTTAAATAACTGTTTTGCCTCAGATAGTTTTAGAATTCCGAGATGATGCCCCTTTTGAAGTATGGAGATTAATCTGCTCTTTCATATGACACCTCGTTTATTGAGTATTACCTTCAGGATCACAAGAAATAAAGGTTTGAATCTCGATTTGGTAATAAAAACATTGACCAATTTTGCATGAAATGGCAATGCACATCGACCAGTAGGGGCGCTGGTCCGAGAATGAGGATCGATCGTCCTCATAAACGAGGATATCCTTGTAAACGCGGACGAAAATGCGTCCCCAAAAATAAAGATCGTCTGCATTTTCGAGGATGTTTTTTTTCATCGGCGCTCTGCAGGTTTTGGGTTACCGAACCGCCCCCTGCCGATGCGAAAAATGGGATTCCTCGTGGAAAAATGACCCTAGACTACTTCACCGTCTACTTTTATGGATTGTCCGTCTTCTGAAAGTCTTTGTACAAAGTCTCTGTAAAAATGATTGCATCAAGAAAATCATTGCGGAATCCGTTTTTTGCATTGCCAATGCGCCGATCAAAAATATGAAACGTCTGCGAAAATGCTGACGATTCTAATTTTTGAGGACGCAATCAGTCCACGTTTACGAAGACATTCCTTGTTTATGAAGCCGATCCTTATTCTCGGACCAACGGCAACGCCCCTACTGTAGACTGCATAGGGATGCAGCAGATGCGTGCAATCTCTCTAGGGTACTATGGGAAGGATTTTAGCACACAACATCGAGTGCGCGATCGCGATCAGACACCCTAGAGTAGTGGCTCCGGTCTGCGGCCGATCGGCGGGAACTGCCGATTCTATTTTTATTGGAATACTCACAGAATACTTCAATACCCTCAATAAAGAGTCCATATACTTACTTATTAAATAGAAGTCACAAATAGCCTAACTGACCCACAGCGTGGTCAGCATTGACCACGTTTCGAAATGCTTTGAGTTCCCCGGTTTGCGGGCACGCATTACCGGTTTGCGGCACGCGTACGTCACAAAGCTTTGTGCGCTACGTCACGATGAAAGCATGTACCAAATTACTACGGGTAACCCAAATTCTCATGTTTATCTGTTGCTACGGTAAATTTGTCAAGTTTTAAACAATTTCACCTTTTCCTCGAATGGATCATCCCATCCGGGGGTAAGTACTACTAGAAACTATCAGGTCATAGCGGGTACACACATCAGCACACATACCATCATACACGATCCCGCATGTTATGTGTGTATTAACACCCCCCGCCGCAAACCAGAAAAAACACGTAATTACGTGCCGGTTTGCGGCCACCCCATGCAACTGGCCATGCGGTGGCACAATCAAAATATCTGCGATAGGAGACAGACCACAGCCATCATACTTCCACAAAAACATCAAATTTCACCTCCAATCGGACAAATATCGGACAAATAGAGCTACAATATTGATCTAGTCATGCCTCGATCTCTTAACTTAAAAGTTAGCACCTGCTGGAATTTTCATCGGCGACTGATGCCGTAGATTTCCGACATCGCTGACGGATACTCCGTACCGACAGGAGCACCTGCTACGGACGTTTTCGGCAAAGCAGAACTTACCGTGGAATCCACGGTAGGTTTCAATGATTATTATCGAGTCATATTCATTTTATTTTTAAAACAAATACCCCTGGCCGCAAACCGGGCGATGCCGCAAACCGGAGACTCTACTCTAGACCTACACTAAAAAAGTACCGATTTAGAGTGAAATCAGTTGAGTTTTGTACAGACAGTGCCAGTGCAGTGGTGTTTGAAATGTTGAGAATCAATAGACTAGAACAGTTTCTAATATACAGCCAGGGTAGTAATGCAGCTGCCGGTATGTGTGAGTACCACTAGGCTACCAGTACCAGACGGTTATTTCTGTTTGACCGAGGGCCCTGACCGGGAATACCTTACGAAAAAAATCAATAGGATTAGTACGCATGTCCATAGCCGATGCGGACGCTGACTTTCTGTGGCTTGCTCACTCGATCTGAGACAGTGACATTATTTCAAGGAGGAAATTTAAACTAAAATTTTACTTGAAAAAAAACATAATTTACCTGTCTGACTCCACCATTATTCCCTGCGATAACGCCACGTGAACTCTGTAATATAACAATTTAGTGCCTCCCTGCAGTACAAGCGCACACAAAATTGCGTTTGTAATGTTTGTGCTGAGAATCGTCGACCTCAAAGTAAGGTTATTCATAATTCAGTAGTTCAGCTTTCTAGTCTTTTCCGGGTCGTTCTTCGTGTTATATTTGTAGCGTCTTTCCTTCGTATGTATATGCCCATCTTTTTGTATTGCGGCTTCCAACATACAACAATATACAATAATAACAGATCAAAAATAAGTAAGCTTGAACAGGATAAACCACGAAAGCTCGAGAGCTTATTTCAAGTGGAGTCCCCTACAGACATGTACACAATTATAATATTTACAGACAGATAATAAAAATAAAAATAATTACTTATTAAAGATAATAATTATTATTAATAATAACAACGTTAAATTGATGACAGAAATCATAATAAGTACAAGAAGAAAAAAAAGAAGGAAAAGAAGAAAAAGAGGAGGAGGAAGAAGAGGAAAATAATGATGAATTTGTAGAATTTCATTGATTCCCCATCAGACTAGCTTCAACCAATCAGTGCATGACATGCCTATGTCTAGAATTAGAGGAATGGTAATTTTAATAAAACAGGGTTAAATTGTACATTTGTGGTAACGAAGAGACGCAGATCACAGGACTTTGTCGAAAGAGGGTGGGCCGGATGCCTGTGGTGATATACAAAAATACGACATGGTAAACAAATTCGCATAAAAATAAATTTAAGGGTTCGGGGATTTGAAGAGAATGCCCCCCCCCAAAAAAAAACTATTTTTTTTCCTCAAGGGGGGGGGGGGGATGTGGGTGTTGAGTAAGAAAAAAATAGTATACAAATATACACTGCCTTGAGAGGTTCTGGTTAAAACTATGCGCACGAGGTGACTCCAATACCCTTTTCACATCTACCAAATATTGCTTAACCCGGGAAATAGGTGGGGCTAAGGGGCTCTTAGCCCCACCAATTCCTTCCTTAGCCCCACCAATTACCGGGGTAATTTTAGCCGGCTTTCTGTTCACATTACGTTTTGCCAAAGTGGGCTAACCCCACAAATAGTACGGGACTATCTGGCCCTGCAAAATAGCAGGTTAGCCGGGCAATTGCGGGGTTAGCCGGGCAATTGTGGTGCTAAGCTGCGTAGTGTGAATCCGAACCGGGCTAAGGAGAAGCGGGGCTAAGCAACAGCCAATCACAGACAGCGTGGTCGTGTGGTCGTGAATTTGCATTTATCGCGCGCTATGCATGCAGTTCACGTTACGCATGCATGCAGTTCACGTTACGCATGCGCGGTAGCAAAAGCATTAATATTCATGAGCTATCGAATAGTCCGGGGCTAAGGCGAACGTAGTGTGAATCGCGTGAAATTTCTTAACCCCGGCTAAGCACATAGTCCGGGGTTAAGAAAATAGATGTGAACAGCAAAAAAAAATAGTATGGGGTTAAGGATAGTATGGGGTTAAGGATAGTCCGGGGTTAAGAAAAATAGATGTGAAAAGGGTACAATAGTACTATTTGCTGAGGGGCGCAGCCCCGAAGCAAATGGTACTTTTGTAGTCACCGAGGCCCATAGTTTAACCAGTACCTCGAATAGAAGGCATGGTATATTTGTTTTATATCCTGCATCAAAAATTTATTTTAAAAATTTTTTAAAAATTGGGGAAAAAAAATTTAGAACAAAAAAATGTCAATTTTTATCTAAAAAGATTTAAAATATTTTGTTTTCATTAAATCAAGATTTGAAAAAAAAAATTGATTCAATTAAAAAAAAAAATTCACATTTTTTTTTTCAACTCCCAAATAGTAAACCAAAATAGTACTCTCATATAGTACTTTCTAAAAATAGCTCAAATATTTTTGGTCATGTGACGAGCTCTCAACCAGTCAGAAGCCAACAAATTTTTGATGCAGGATATAATACTCATTATTACCCGTATCAGACATCTGAGCTGGTCATTTACAAAACCGTATTGCCCTAGTTTTCACTAGCAGTGGGAACGGAGGGTATATTCTTTGTATTTTCCTTGGTCTCCCTGCGCGTATTGACTTTGCGTGTAGAGAAGAGTGAAAATATACCTTGGTATTTTCCACGGTCTCGCATCCGGGCATCTTGTATTGACCGCGCCGTATTTTGTCATTTTCATTGCGCATCTATTATGCGTACGAGAACCTGTGCACTTTGCGCGCACTCTATTGTGACGTAATAATCACACCAAATGCACACTGTTTGCAGTGTAACGAAAATTGTGTCAAGCCGCGGGATGCACAGTGCTGGTTTGACAAAGTTTGTTCAGTTCTTGAGATTGTCATGGTGGATTTCTGTATTTGCTCTAGATGTCTGATTTGGATGACAATACAAATATTGACTGGCTTTACTTTCGGGGGATATCAGAAATATTGACCGCGCTAAGACCATATTGCCCTCGTCTTTCGACTCGGGGCAATATGATCTGAGCTTGGTCAATATTTCTGATATACCCCTCAAGGCCAGTCAATATTATATAATTATTCCCCCCCCCCCCACTATTCGATTCGCACTAAATATTTTCTCACGAATTAGGCAAAGAAAATTAGTGTTAGTACAGCTATAATAGTAAAAATGGTGGATTAGTTCGGGGGGGGGGGGGGGGGGGGGTTCTCACATATTTAGACATACAGGGATGTGTCGCCCTATTATGGGTCACTTTTTCATTAAAAAATCCACAAACCGTCAGTCTCCTAGTAGGCCCAGTAAGTACAGTGGAGTTTCAGGGCCTTTAGAAAAAAAAAAGCGAAATATTGTCAAAATACATTTTTTGCAAATTTTGACAATATACCGCGAAAATTGCCGTAAAATGCCGCCATGAATTCAGTGGCGGATCCAGGGGGGGGGGGGGGGGGGGTGCAAATTGAAATTTTTTTGAGGATCAAAAAAAAAAAAAAAATGTGCTCACTACCCCCCCCCCCCCACCCCCCCCCCCCCCCCCCCCCCCCCCCCCCCCCCCCCCCCCCCCCCCCCCCCCCCCCCCACTGAGCGAATTTTTGGCCGGCGCGTTTTTCAAATTTTCGGGAGCAAAAAAAAAAAAAAAAAAAAAAAAAAATTGTGCCTCTGTACCCCCCCCCCCCCACTGAGCGACTTTTCGGCCGGCGCGATTTTCAAATTTTCGGGAGCAAAAAAAAACAAAAAGTTGGGCCCCCTCCCCTAAGAAATCCTGGATCCGCGCCTGCATGAATTTATGTTATACCTTTTCCCCACATTTTTTAAAAGTTATATTATTTAACCTCGACGGCTTGTGTAAACTCTAGAAAGGGCAGAATTTCAATGAATATGCATTAGCCTTATTTTGGGAGTAACACTAAATCTATAGCCTTCGATAGAAAATGAACCATAATTCCAGGTAATAAAATATATTTCCTACCTCTTGAATCTATTTTGATATTAATCTAATATGGAAAATGAGCTAAAATAATATTGACTTGATTATAATTTATAACATAATTTTTCCATTAAATGTTTGTAGAGATTAATATATGAGGATGTTCGCTTCATTTAAAGGCCATGCAAATTTTACACACAACAGGGGGGCTTGTGTCTTGTAAGGACCAATCACATGGCTTTGTTGCAGGACGCTAACTAAATCAGCTGACTGTTTCGCGCGGAACTCGATTCGCGGGAAGCTAGCTATCCTACCGATACATTTAATTTACGTAGGCTACACGTACACACATTGCATTTATATTTGACTCCACTACTAACTCCATATCCAAGCTGAATCGAAGCTGCCAAACGCTGGGTCTTTTGCTCTTCTTATAAACGTGAGTATTACGAAATTCTAGATTTAAATTGTAGAACAAGATTTAATCCACTACTTTACCGAATTGGTGTAATTTGGGAATTAGGCAGCTGCACTTGTTAATTAAATTGTTATGTACTGTAGTAGTCTACACACATACACAAACAAACAGGCTAGATTTCTACAACTAAAAGTTACTTAGGGCTGGCTAGGCCCTACACTATTATTAGTATTACAGTTACAGTGCAGTGACTGTGCTGCGCGGTTACAATTTGAATATTAATACAACTTAGGGTCTACACTAATTTACAAGCTAGGTCTAGATCTAGTCTACAATAATATAGGTCTATGTTTCGTGGCCTGTTAGATCTAGAATCTAGACCGGCTTTATTATAATTTGGCGCTGCCAAATGCTTGACTTGATCAACACTGTTAATTTAACATCAACATGTTGTAATTTATAGTCTAGATCTAATCTTGAAATGTTGAAAATGGTTATGAGAAAATCAGCAGTAGGTCTAGACCCTATATAGATCTAGGTGCGCTGTTCCAAGAATAAGGAATCTAGTACGCATAAACGAGGATTGTCTTCGTAAATGTTGACGGATCATCCACATTTTCGCAGCTGTTTCATAGATCTATTTAAAATCCGCGCGTTGGCGATGCGAAAAACTAATTCCGCAATGATTTTTTGATGCATTTTAGAATCTAGATCTACATTAACATTGTAAAGAGACAAGTCGTAAGCGATAGTTTATATCCTCGGGAAGGCGGACAACCCATCATAGTAGACGGTGAACTGGGGTTATTTTCTTACGAGGAATCCGTTTTTTGCATCGCCAGCACGCGGTAAACAGAAACCTGTAAAGACCCGATGAAAAAAAACGTCCGCAAAAATTCGGACGAATCTTATTTTTAATGACGCATTTTATCCACGTATACAAGGATATCCTTGTTTATGCGGACGATCCTTATTCTTTTACCAGCGCCCCAACTGATAAGTGATAGATCTACTGGGTTATCATATCTAGATGTATGTAGGATTGAAGTGAGACAAACACCAAAGCTGTAACCTACATACTCCTTGAGCTCCAGTAAAAATGTTAAGATTAATAATAAATGATAATAATGAACAGTCCTCTGACAATACCCTTTTTTATTGCAGTTTGCTCCCACCATACCATCATGCCTGTTGAAACTCGAAGAGGCCGCCAATCCACTCTGGCATTCCCTTCAAGAAAGACCCAAACACCAAGCAGGACTCTACTTACTCTTAAAGGGGAAGAGAAGAACCTTGCTGGACTAAAGAAAGACCACTGCAGAAGTAAAAGTCTTTCTTCGCTTTCTTCAAGATTAATACCTGTGAATAGGGAACCAAGCTTTACATCATTAGCAGGTAGACTGGATGGAATTCTCTCACCTACAAAGAGGAGTAAGTATATCATTGAGACTGTCTTTTGATATTTCTTAATATTCAGTAATAAACATTTTGTACTAACTGTAAAATGATATTTCTTCTTTATCACAGGTATTGAAAGGGTATTCATCTGAACTCATAGTCAGGAACATGAACATGTATTGAGAGTTGTGCAAACTCTTGGTTATTGTTTGCTTGAAAAGGAGGTTTTGAAAGTTAATTCTATAAAACCTAGATTACCGGTACTCATTTGTTAACTTGTACATTAACTATGCATTTTTTCTCTCAATATTTTCAGTTGTAGCTGCTAAGGAATCCCCAGTAGGGAGTATCAGGTCACCGTCAAAGTCTCCCAGGAAAAGATCACATACAGGTATGATACCATGAGGGTCAGGGGTCGCATTCTTAAACCATTTGATGTTTTTTATATAAGTGAAAGTGTGTCAATTCATGTAATATAGATCTATTAGTGAAAGTAAGTTAAATTTTTTCCTACCAGTTACCCATTCGTTAACAGGTATGTGAGTGGAGAGTGGGGAATGTGGATCACTTGTCTTGCCAAAGGATGCAAGTGCATAGGGCAGTGACTTCCACAAGACCACATTACCTCCACGCTTCATATATGTTTATGATGACAACTGATTCTTATCTTTTTATTCAGAACATTACAATGATGAAAACCAGCATCCAGAGCCGTGCAGTCCAACAAAAGTCAAGAGATCTATACTAGATGATTTATCTTCTCCAACAAAGTCACCTTCAAAAAGACCAGAATCCTTTGTGACCCCTGCCAGGAAACTCACCATCACTAGACCAGATGGTAAGGTCTTAAACAATCTGTGTGGGAATATTTAATCTTCTCATCCAATTCTCCCTTCATCACCTCCAGTTTCCTCTCTCTTTAACTTTCACATTGCAATATTTTCATCTGTTCCTTTTCTGATAGTGGTCAGACATGTGTGTAAAAATCATTTATTTTTCAATGCAATACTGTTTTGTACCTCTTAGGGTGCGTTTAAGCTTAAATTTTGAAGGCAGAATGAGCGATTTGTAACGCTCATCATAGACGCTCATCGTAATCGCAGTTCCACGGTGTACTATTTATGCTCACTTCTCTGGCTCCTCCAGGCAATTCTCCCCGGGTGGCCTTAATTGGCAGATGGATTTGCAACCTTGAAATGCGCACATGCTATGTAGACCATGGTCCATGTGTAGACCCACTAGAGGTCAGTGCGTTGACCCCATTTAAACGCGTTTACAAATTGTAAATGCATCTTTTTGTGAGTTTATGATCGGTGATCGTGATCACCCTTTTTTCGGTGATTCTACAAAAGTGAGAAAGGACGCAACCGTGTTTTAAACTAAACGCGTAACAGATGCCTGATTCTGGCCAGAAAAAGTTAAGCATAAACACGCCCTTAGTCTTCAAAGGAATGATTCCAATGACTTCTCAGTTTTATTGTTCATGGTTTATATGTAGCAGTCTGTGGTATGCAATTTGTGTTCGCACTGCTTTATTAACAATAACCATGCAACCGTTTCATTACATGCAGTAGTTCATCACCGGGGGAAAGAAACCTCCATAAATCTGAGGCACATTTAATGAACTTGCCAAATTTTCTTATCACTTTTGTTAAATGGGATGTGTATTGATATTTCAGATGAATGTTACAGCTCAGCAAAGAAAGCACTTCACACATCCCTCCCAGAGCGTCTCCTATGCCGAGAGAAAGAGACTCAAACCATTCAATCATTCCTCAAGAATCATCTAGAGGCCAGGAAACCAGGAAGTCTTTATATCTCTGGTGCTCCTGGAACCGGGAAGACAGCTTGCCTCAAACAGATCTTACAACAACAAAAGGTATTTAGCATTCTACTTACTTACCTAATAACTTGGTCAAGTAATTTTTCTTCTTGTTCCAGAGAGTTCGTAACAAACATATGCTTTTATTCTGTGTCACTCCATGCTGTAATTTTAAACAGGATGACATTGTACTAAGATGCTTTGATGTTCACACTAATTTAATTTTTTTTGTTAATTACAGAGTTCCAGAAGAAACACTCATCATATATTTGTGAACTGCATGCTGGTCAGACAGAGCCAAGGAATATATAACACAGTCTTGAAAGAAGTAAAACAGGATGTATCAACAGACAAGCTATCTGCCAAGATGGCCGCCAAGGCTCTTCAGAAGGCATTTGCATCAAATGGACCCACTGTGTAAGTGAAATGCTTCTTCAGGAATTGTTGTTAAAATATATTTTATGGGTATACTACTTATATATTTATCTTTTTCTTTTTTGGGTGTTGTATTGTACTCTGTCACATATAACCAACCACATTAACAGTTCCCAAAGTGTTAATAAATGTTGCATGAATGGTATAAACTGATCCCTGATCTGTTTGCCTCACAAACATTTCATACTTGATATATATATATACATCTGTGTAGTAGGTTGTAATATAGTATCTCTCCTCTCTTCCATAGATTGTTGGTGTTGGACGAGATAGATCACTTAGACTCCAAAGGCCAGGAGGTTCTTTACACCATGTTTGAGTGGCCAAGTCTTCCCAAGTCTAGATTGGTGCTAGTAGGTAAGATCACAGTTTGCCTGTCTGACCACCATCAAGGTGACCTCCACATGAAGCCACTTTCAGAGAAGTCAAGGTTTAACAGGAATTGGAATCAACATCCCATCTATGTGCTCTTTATAACAATTTATTAGATTTTAAGTCTGGGAATGAATATGCAATGTTGGAATTACTTGCAAGAAAGAAGGCACAAGAGTTTCCTGAAAGGGATCTTGAATTCCAATTTGAATGTGCCCTTACTTTCATTTCATTGTAGGCTTTCATCTTTGTTGTAAGTTGCTTAGGGAAAACAATGTTGTGTGTTCAATCTTGATCAGCGCTCATGACCCTTTGTTTGCAAATCACTGGATTAAGAAAGTAATCCCAGATTACAGGAATTCTATAGTTGTACCCTAGGGTAAGGGTTTATTGAGTGTTAATACAATAGTGTGAAAGACAGTAGATGGGCCACTACTCTTAGTAGCCAATAAAGATATACACATAGCTTTTATTAGGCTATCATGTTGTCTACATTTTATCCTCAACTGACTGTTGTCTCTTATAGATACATATATTTAGGCTTTCAGTTGACTGTATTTATACATTACTGGTACTTGTATTCTTCTTTTGTATGGTAGATGCTGTATAAATCAATACCCTCAACAGAGCATGTAAAGTACACATTCCTATCTATCCCTGCAGCATAGCTACTTGAAAAAAGCTTATCATGCAATCATATTTGATCCTTTATAATGTCAAAAAAAAAAAAAATGTGTTTCTTCATAGTTCCAGCAAAAGTAGCACGATTTTATAAGTTCACCTTTCCAAATTGTAAAGCTTGTATTGATGAGACTATTAAACCTGTGTGTTGATTGATGTGTCTAACAGGTGTGGCCAATTCACTGGATCTCACTGATAGAATCCTACCTAGGCTACAATCCAGACCCAAATGTAGACCAGAGCTACTTCACTTTGCTCCTTACACCAGGACTCAGATCTCAACCATCTTACAGGACAGACTCAAAGAGGTAATATCTAGAATCATTGTTTGGCTAATGCAATTACCGGTAATTGGTTTTTATACAGGTGCATGTTCTGTGGATGTTAGTCTGACAGAATCAAAGAGGTAACATTTACAATCAGCGTCGTAGAATCTTTTGGGTTGAACCAATGTTGGGAAGTTGCTGTCACTAAATGTGTGACTGATGCAATTACCGGTAATTGGTTTTTCTACAGGTGCATGTTATGTGGATGTCAGTCTGAAGCAATGTGTATGATGTACATTGTAAAACGATATTTTGTAATGCCAATGTTAGTAATGTTCTGTTTTCAGGAAAATCTTTACTAAGTATATCCCATTATACAGAAACCAGCACTTTCTTGTAATGGTTGAAGGCTTCCATGGTAAAGATAATGTGAGAGTTATGAGGTGGCTCTGATAAGGACCACTCATCATCAACGTTTCAATAGGTTGTACCACGGGTTTTACCTATCGTCTTCAGGATGAGTGTCATTTCTTTTGAGCTTTCGGGCAGTACACATCCTAAAAATGATGCATTAATGCAAAATAGTTGGGATTTCATGGGATACGTTGCCATGTAGAAACTTCTGTAACAAACAATTTAATCCTCATTAATATTTGATTTGTTTTTCTTCCAATGAATCAGTCTTAGAGGGTATGACTGATTATTCACATGTTCAAGGTTTATTTGATCCCCTGCAATGGGTTAATCTTGGTCAAACTTTCATACCCATGTGTTGGCTTAGTCAGTAGAGCATCCGCCTCACAACCGGGAGGTCGTGGGTTCGAACCCCGGCCGCGTCATACCAAAAGACGTTAAAAGACGGGAGTTGCTGCTACCTTGTTTGGCGTTCAACAATAAGGGATAAAGCAACGTCGATCTGGCGCTGCTCAGTGGCTGCCAGGCTCACGATCACTTGGGCAAAAAGAATTTCCATTTTCGGTTTAACTTAATAACATCTGGAGTGGATTTTAAAAGATTATTATTATTATTATTATTATTATTATTATTCTCATTTCTCAGAGCACTGTTGATGGGACTGCTGTAGTTGATCCCATGGCTGTTCAACTGTGTGCAAGGAAAGTAGCAGCAGTAGCAGGAGACGTCAGGAAAGCCCTCGATGTTTGCAGGTAGGTCGGACTAAAGACAATTTATAAACAAGACATTGTCATCATAATATTCATTCTCTTGACCAATTTAAGTCCTTGTTGAAAACACACCTTTTTAATTCATGAATGCTATTCTGCAGTTGTGAGTCGGTCAAAGGAGGTGCACACCGTCTTTTTTCTTGTTTCTTCGATCTCATGTTTGATCCTATGTTTGACCTTATGTATGTTTGATCTCACTCTTATTTTTGTTATTATATATGCATGATTTATTGAATAAAGAACAGTTGTGTGTTTATTATAAGTTTTGGTACATAATTTTTAAGTCAGACTATGGTGCGCTTAGAGACACCTGTATTAAGCGCCTAATAAATATTGTGTATTATTATTATTATCTTATTACAAGTGGATCTTAGTGTATGCAGACACAAACAAATTTTGGTCATACAAGTTTTAAAATCGGGTACTCTTAAAGTACCTTGTATTCTAGTTACCAGTGAGATGTGTTGCCACTATAATATGTATTTGGAATGAATTTGTTGACCTTGTATGTATTAACATTTGAACTAATTTTCATGTTTATTTTATCAATCAGGAGAGCAGTTGAGATTGTTCAAGCAGACGTCAGAAGGCAGTCAGTATTGAAACCATCAGGAGGTAAGTTTGATCAAACTCTAGAAATACTGTGAAACATCCAAACTTTGCAACATACTTTAGTGGAATCACGCAAGCAATGTTCTTACATCCTGATAGTTTTCACCATGCACAGGTGCTTAACCTGTTGAACACTTAAGCCAGAGATATAATCCTGGCTAGAGTCCATGTAAAATGTGCCATAATCTCATTGTATACAGCAGGTCAATGCTAGGACTAACTAAGTGTCTGCAGCATTTAATTCATCCTAAATGCTAAGAATGATGATTGACAAGTAGTCTCCTTCCATTTCAGGTTCCCCAAGGAAGGCCCTACTATCACCCATCAAATCCTCTCCCAGGAAATCACCCAAGAAAGGTTCTCCCTCCAAACCCCTGAAGAAGGTCTCCCTCCTCCAGGTATCCAATGTTATCAATGAGGTCTATGGGTCAGGGGTCATGACCTCAGCAGGGGGCAAAGGTCAAAGCTTTCCAATGCAACAGAAACTGGTCATTTGTACAGTTCTTCTGATGGTCAAAGAAGGCAAGAGTCGAGAGGTCACTTTGGGAAAGGTTGGTTTATATTTATACTTTACCAGTACTTTTTACATGAAATATTAATGAATTTGCTTTCTATTTCATAGTTCATCAGTAAGGATATAGAGATGGAATAGATGGTGTATGCATAGATGGTTGCCATAAAAAAAAGATTTTGTATTGCCCTTTGCGACCAGCCCCAAAATCTTGAAATCTATGTTTGGCTTTATCTATTGACAACAGGTGGTTTAGATTTGTGTAATACCTAGAAGTATTTCCTCTACACTTTGGTCGCCTTGTAATTGATGAACATGTCTTCATTTTGGGTTGTTCATAAATTCCTTAACTGGTATTCTTCCATTTATAAAGTACTGAATAATGAAAACTGTCAGAAGATGTTCATTGCTGAATGAATATGTTTGCTGCTTTGCCTGAAAACCATTTATGTAAGGGGGGGGGGAAGTATTTATTAAAATCCAAAACCTGCTTATAAACTTAAAAGTATTTTTATGCATGACTTTTTATTGAAGTGCTTTCCCCTCATTGGAAGTACATGTCCTTAATTTCTTGTTATGCCTATGTAATCAAACATCAGTTAATCTGTCAGCCTAATTTAAAGTGAAACTATTTTACTCTCTATAGGTCCATGACACATACTGCAAGATTTGTGCTAGTCGTAAGGTTGCACCTGTTGACCAATCAGAGTTCCTGTCTCTATGCCAGCTGATCGAGACGAGAGGCGTCCTTGCTCTCAAGAAATCCAAGGACGCAAGACAGATTAAAGTAGGTCACTCTTTCATCCTCTTCTGCTCAACCTTTTTCTATTATGCTGTTTCACCTGGAGATGCAGATCCTATCAGATTGCCTGTAAATTTTACTAATTTTGACAAATTTGCTTGAATTCTGATGAAATAGGCCAGTTAAAATAGGGTTAAAGCAGTTAGTTTTTTAGATGTCGATTGTTGGATACCATGTTGGAACACATGTTTAGTATGAAACCATAAAGACTCCATAATGCAGTTTGAATTGAACTTTAGCCATGGAAAGTAATATTCTCAACCAATTATTGTAGGCTGTTTGAGGCATTTGTTCATGTCATTAATGCTACTTTTGGGTATCATGATCATCCTTCAAACTTTGCATGTAGCATATACATGTGAATACTTGAGTAATAAATATCCATCATTGCCCATAGCATCACTACTCAGTGAGGATGTGGAACAATTGACTTGCTTCCATCCGAAGAAGTAAATAGTGTCCTCTATTGTTGGATGTTGTCTGCTAGTTTGCCCATATTACTGAGGTTTTCTAACTTTGCTGTTGATTGATTTAAAGGGTCAGCCACGTGTAGGAAACATTGTGAAGGTCTTCTATGCTATGAAATCTTTTCTTGACAATGTTAAACTGTGTAGGAAATTGGCATAAAGTATGACATGTTTGAATTTCTTACAGTAAATTGTGTTGAAGGTTGTTTATTTTTTATTTTGTTTAAATATAGTTTATTGAAATGATTTACAGTGCACTGTCAAAAATGAATGAATGAAATGTTAGAAAATCCTCACAAGGACACAAATAATCCCAAAACTTGAAATATCATTTTGTTGATGAATGTGTAATCTATTTGTTTTGTTTTTGATATTTTTCTTCTAGATGTGCATGAAGATGAATGAGAAAGAGGTTGAGTTTGCTCTTCAAGATAAGACCCTCATGTCAGCCATCTTGGAAGCTGGATTGCCTAGCAACAAGGATAAGAAGGGCAAGAAATTATGATGTACAGCTTAAAACTCCTGATAAATATAGATAATACACATTAAGTGCTATCTGCAATTTTGTTAATTTATTTTAATTTTTTAATTCCATTGACATTGTATTCTTTATATTTTTATATTTTTTACCATTGGTGTTAACTTTGCCATTAAAGGGATCCGGTAACTTTGTTTTAGATTCTGAAACAAAATTCTGGATTTAGCTCATGATGCAATGATAATTATAAACCTTTAGGTCAGTCAGGAACCCCATGACTTTTACAAGCCGATCGCCCATCTGATTATCAAGATATCTATGATTGGAATTACAAATTTTGAAAACCGTTCGCCTGACGGTTTTCATAACACTACAGTCTATTGGGGAAAACGAGTATGGTAAAACCGGTCACTCAAAGATTTTTACTTTTTTGAGGCACTTCTTGATCATTTTGAAGCGCAATTTTTTTAGGGCTTCAATATTACACCATATCACAGACACTGATAACACGTAGGGCCGTGTATCTCAGATTTAACATTGTTAAACGATCCCTTTAATGTTACCTTCCATGGAAACCTTGATTGGATTGCCAGTTGAGTGATGTTGCCATGGTAGTTAATATTGATAGCAAAGTTACCATCCATGGAAACTTTGTTCCCTTATGCATATTTTATAAAATTGTAAGTGAAACTATATTGTGCAAATGCATGGATGGTGGACAAAAATTGCCAGGATTATGTACCCCTTATGTCACATTCCCAATTTGTAGCAGCTCATATCGCATTTACTGATTTATGTATTGAAATTTAAGCCCTCCCCCTCCCCAAATAAGAGAATGATAATAATAGAGAATAATCAATTCCTATCTTATTCGGCCTAAAAATATTTTTCTCTGAAAGTTTAACTGACCCGTTTCTTGACAGCAAAACAAAATCGCTTTTAAAGTGCTTTACACAGAGGTGAAAAGCAGCTGTTGTCTGTGCTAGTAATATATGTGCACATTTGTATAAAATTGGTTTAATGTAACTTAGTTTCACTTCAAGGAACCTCGAGGAATCCCTGATGTAGAGAAGGTTCAAGTGTTTCTCATGATCTATTAGATACTGTAACAATGGTTTTATTACACATGCAATTAATGATCAGGGCATGAAGTGCTCTTGGTCACAGTTCTAGACTTTAATCAATTGAGAGGATCCTTGTTATAACAACTGCTCTAGGAAATGAGTTTTATGTTTTTATTTTGAATTGTTTTTTATATGAGGGTCAAACAAAAATAATAATTGAAATAAAAAAAAATTGAAATAAAAAAATGTGGGACAGGAAAATTACTTTGTTATATTTAAAAGTTGTTATATCAGTACTCTTAGCTATGAGGTTCTACTCTATGATTCCTCTCAGGTTGTTGGGGATTCTGAATGTGAAAGATTTCTGATTGTCAAAATATTTTGTTCTTCCTCAAACTAACATTGTTATTTTTTTTTTTAAATACTAATGTACCAAGTGGATACCTAGCAATAGACAATGGTGATGTAATTATATATTTATTCTAGTAGGAGTGTCAGTTTCTATCCATTTATCTATCAAGGTATTTTGTCCCAGCTTGGAGCTTGATTGCAACATTGTTTCACACATCTGTTTCTGCCTTGCTAGTACACTTTTGCGATGTTATTCCAATCCATGTCTTAATGTTCCCCTCCCAGTTAGTAAATGCTTTCCCTCTTGGTCTGGTACCTTCTACTTTTCCTTTCTCTCAATCTTTCAAGAGACTCTGATGTGTGTTTCATGTCCAAATATAAGATTTTTTTCTTCAGATTTGACTATTAATATTGTACATGTATCCTATCACCCAACGTTTTTATAATCAACATGTTACATTGTGTGTACAGATTCGTAAACTTCACTTCAGAAAATCATTCTTGGCAATAATAGTTTTAATTGTTTGTATTGAATTGGTAGACCTAGCACAGTAAAATATAAGTGTTGCAATAATAACATACATCGTTAGCATTGTCAAATCTTAAACTGAACTGATTTAAAAATGATTACACTGCAGAAGAAATAGACCTGATGTCTTCAAAATTGTCGAAAATCTAAGATGGAATGAGGTATTTCAACATGTTTTGTAGTGGAAATGACTGATATGTGAATGGAAATGATTGCAATAATAGCATGTTTTTATCCCTGGATTAAGAAGTTTGATTTAGAAGTCTTCAGAATGGTTCTAGTGAAATATCATTTTGGAAGTCTCTGGTAATTCTATGAATTTGTATGATTAATTATTGTGATGAATTTGATACTTGCCTACCACACTACCAGCATTTGGAACATGTATTTAGGGACTGGATGGGGGCTTCTAAACATTTACCTTCAGTGCGTATATAACAATTTAGTGTGGAGATTTAGATGATTTCAGTTAATTTCAGAGGCTCAAAGGATTCCTTTTTAAAATTCAAATACGAGGTGATTGTGAAGGTTACCAAGGGAAGCATCTAAGAGATGTACCAACATGTAATGGCATGTATGTACCCAACAGTATTCCTACACATCAAATGTATTTTTTTCTCACCTTTAATTTTTAACATTTGAGTAATTACTGTATTTTTATCTGATTTTACAGCAATTTGCCATGCATCATTATATGAATTGTAATTTTGGATGTTATTTAGATACCTTTTAAAGTAATTAACAAGTTTTAATATGAATTTTTATATGTCAACATGTTTTGTAAATAATTGGTCTTTTACTGACCTGGATTGTTGCCTTTTGTGTGAAATAAAACTGTTGGGCAATTCTAATAGTTTGGAATTTGTATTCAGTGTCATATACATTAAAATTAAGAAACTGAAAAAAACAAAATTGAAATGAATGTTTGTTATGAAAAGTTTATGCTTCAGTAATAATAAAGTAGGACTTTTATATTGATGAAATAAAAATACAAAATATTACTGTGGAATATATGTCAATTAACATACAGACTACAAAGACTGTATAATATTTTTATCATAAAGTAATATTTATTAGCAACAACAAAAGACAAATAATGTTTAGGGACTTTGAAAGCAAGATGATAAAGGCAAAATGCCTGTTTTACACACAAAATAATTGTTCTACTGTCGCGTTATTCCCTATCGAAAACCCCCCACAATTCAATTCAACCACAGAGGAATACTCTTAAATGTCAATACACCCGCCATGTTCATCTAACAGATAACTTGAAATGTCAAGTGACAACAAATTACATTAGTTGCTTATCAACCTATTCATATCTCTCTCTCCCTCCCCTCTCTCTATCTTCCTCTCCCTCTCTCTCTCTCTTTCACTCTCTCTTTCTTACCTTCCTCTGTTTCTCTCTCTCTCTCTGTTTCTCTTTCTCCTTTCTTTCGCTCTCTCTCCATCTCGCTCTCACCCCTTCTCTCCCTTTCTTCTTTTTATCTACACGTTATCCCCTTTTCTATCGCTATTTTCTACACTGTCGCTTCCCATTCTTCCTCTCGTCTTCACCCATTGTACCTTGAGATGTTCTCTCTGCTCGACTGAACTTACCAGGTTGGTTTCCATGACAAATTCGATGATTTGAAGACACCCAGATGAAAACGGGCATAAACAAATTCACAAAATTAATCATTTTGAGAGGAAAGTGTGGCGCGTGAAAGAACAATATTCAAGTTTGCTCGTGCCTCGGAGTAAATTTATTATGGTTTGGTGTGAGTCTGGACAATTCTTTTTTAAGAGTCACGTTTTTTGCCTGCTCTTTCTACAATCTCTCTAGAAATGTAAGTTAAGTGAAGAGAAAATTACCTGGGAATATTATTTCATGGATATCGTATCCCTAGGAAATTGACTAAATTTATTAGCTGTGATGTTCTATGGTTTTTTTTATCCATGAGGTTCACAATTCCCTGAAAGTGGGAAATTCAGCAGGATAATATTTGTTCTCGAACGAGCGCTCATGCATACTTTTGTTACCCTCAGGTATACAAATGTTATATTCTTCAAAGTCCGTGAATATGTATTTTATTCCCTTAGTTTTCCCTTATCTTACAACGTCGTAATATCTTTTAAGTAACCCATTTTTTCAAATTTGTTGCAATCACTGAATTATATAATAATAACAATATATTGATAATAATTAACCGTATCTCCTTCAAATCAACATTAACTTTACTATCGATAGCTAATTACGATTAATTTTATTTTAAGGATAGATACAATACATGGTAAGATACAATTATTTATAGCAGGATTTTAAATACAAAACAGTTTCATGTTTGATTGTATTAAAGTAGATTATAATAATACAGGTCCCTGGTTACTGATGAGATTCGAGTTCATGATTTGTGATGCTTGCATTTAAAATCTCGTCTAAATATTAAATTAAATTGTCGTAGGTAGAATTGAGAAGAAGGAAAACAAAAACGCTCCAAGAGGGTATCTTAAGATGATGGTGATTTGTTGATAGTGGTTATGGTTGCGATGATGAAGACGAAGAAGACGTTGGGCAAGTAAGGGGTGGTGGTGATGGTATAGAATTAAATATGGTGACGATGAAGGTGATTTTGATTATGGTGTTATTGATGATAACAATGATTGTGATGATAGGAGGGGGGGGGCGGTGATGAGGTTAGTAGGCATAATCATTGTGTTTACGGTGATGATGACATGTGGTGGAGGCGGTGGTGGTGGTGGTGGTGGACTGGTGGTGATGATAGTGATGGTGGTGATAGTACTTTACAAAGACCCCGATTGCGGAAGGCATATCATGTATTATCTCATTGGGAGTGTATCAAATTTGTAAAACTTTGCCTTTAGAATTCCGCACTTCTACGTTTTACTTGATAAACTATTTGGCTTATTCTTCTTGAGTATATGCCTCTTTCTTTTCAAAGTTCATTTACATCCTTATGAAAACCCACCATGGCACTGCTTGGGGACATTGACTACTGTAGTTCCGGTATCTTTTTTTATTGTATTTTCTGTGATCAATTTTAGAGCATTTGTCACAGCATTCATCCCTATAGTAAGGTCTTGCCAATCTAATTACACACAACACGTACGTGCTCAATCGAAATAGATCACTCATAATTTATCATTGGCGGTGGCATGGAGCTTTGGGAAGCACGGGTCTATTATTGATAGCACCCAGAGGTTTTGCAAAACAATTATTTCACATCTCCTTCGTAATAGCTTGAAGCATGTCGGGAAGATACTTGATTGCATGTCATGAAGAAAGACAAATGATATGTCCTCCTCATGTATTTGAGAGAGAGAGAGAGGGAGAGAGAGAACGGGCGAGGGAAATAACATTTGTGTCTGATCGACTTTTAGGGTATCACACGTATCAAGCCTGAAGCGGTTGCTATGGAAACAAAGACCCACTGAAGAACGTGGTTGTTTATTAAACAACATGAATATAAGAGGTATATGCGTGTAGAGAGATGGGAGATCAGGGGATAACTGGGAAACGAGTAAACTAATTAATTACTTATATAAATGCATAATTATTCATAGACGTGCAGTAAATTGCACATATTGCATAGTTGACAAATCAAGTTTGAAAGAGACTTTATATGTTGGAACTACTTGTATAGCCTCTTCGAATATGCCATGTCTGAGTGTTTGACTTAGAACAAAGAGAAATAGTAAGTGTGGAAAAGTGGATCCAAAATCAATGTACCTTTTCCTATAAAGAGGGTTATGTTACGGATCATTTTGTGAATTATTTACCGTTATATCATCATAATTATATTGAAATGGTAATAATAATGACATAAATAATAATGTTATTAGTAGTACTGCTGTTGTTATTATTGATAGAGTGCGGAACTATTATGTATGGCTCGAAACACCATGAACGTGGTTTTAGCCGTGAACAACGTCCATAATATGGACTGGTTCAAACAGAATGAAGCACACATCACTCGGGATTTTAGTTTAGATTATTTCTTTTATTTTCGGTCAAAATCAAATGTTTGACACACATAAATAAATATATGTATGTGACATAAAATAGCTAACAATAAATAGTTACATATACATCTCCCTTCTCGGTTAACGAGTTAAACCGACAATAATCTTGTACAAAAATACCATTTCAAATCCAAACGTTTCACCAATACATTAATTTAAGACGTTATAGTTATCCATACTTATTGATAAAATGTGATTATTGGGTCGATTTGTATAATCTTAACAAAGTAGTCTTGAAAGGTTCTTTATATGTCAAACGAAGCATTATAATAATCAGAGGAGTCACTAGAATTCTTTTTTTTTTTTACTGCGACACATTTGTTTCTATGTGCAATATGTTCTTTTGACTTCGGCATAATGATAACATCTGTTTTTATTCGTGTTGGAACAAAGTATACATGAAAATCATAATCTATCTTTTGATTGGTTTGTCGGCTGATTGTCGTCACAAAATTATCGGCAAATTTGGTCGAAACTTCTATTCCGTAAAAAACGTTCAAATGTGAAATCCCGATAATACTCATCTGTAGGCCAGCATAGCCACGGAGTGAGTTAAGGCAAGAAAAGCAGAAACAATTATGAATTTACATAATAAAAAATACAATGGTAAATATTATCTAATGATTGTTTTGTTTTAAAATCACATTTATATTGCACTTATGTTTATCTCCCTATGCAAAACTTAACTATATCTTTAACAAGATAACTAAATGGTTTATCACAAGGAAACATTTTTATCATCACAACATTAATCACCACCAATTACAGACATAATTAGCTTACAATCATTACTCACAGCTGAACTCCTCAACATTCATGATATTCCTACCTGATGAAATATACTGATATTAGTTTGCTCGTAGTGACATATATTTACATCGTGATTTCCAGCTGACATGGATTTAACCATAATAATCTACCTTTGGATTGCTAACTATACAAACACCTTGCGAACACAAACATACATGGTGCACATCTTGTTTGCTTAAGGTTGTGATTTGTAACATCGGAAACAAAATGGTGAATGCGGATTTGATAACATTTACTTGATTTTACAACTTAAAATGTTACCATGTTAACATTACCAAATGATTTTTATGAAGAGACACGTCACATTAGAACATACACTGCACAGGTAATAATGTGAACATGAATTTCTGTAATGGAAAAAAAAACAACCCTGAATTCCCGAAGAAAAACAGTGTATGTAAAGAAGAATGATATACTTTCAGGCTGAAGAGAAAAGACCGACCTATGCTGTCCTCAACATAAATCTATAGATAATAGAAGTCAACCGATCATCGACAGACCTTGGAAAAAAGAGTTTCTAGTAAACCCATTACCGCTGAAGATCCTAACATACGTTTTTCTTTGAAATACGAAACTTTTTTTAAATGCTTTTATAGAAATGTTTTTTGAATTTGAAATTGTTGAAATCAAATATAATTTTTATCGGGCAGAAGGAAGAAGTAACATCTTTAAGATTTATATCCGTCTGATACTCTAATTACCTTATAAAAGTGAGATCCAAGTATGGTACAAGTACACATCAATGACGACTATACAAAGTACAATGTATATCCAATGTAACAGAACAGATTGTCAGAAAATCGTGCTAAATATGAGAACATATTATGACAAAAGTTGTGACATTGACTACAAATCTGTAATAACATGATATAATGTAACGTCGTGCCAATACATTATGATAATACATGTAGTTATACTGAGGAAGAGAGAAAGGGTGAGAGAATAGAGAGAGAGAGATATATATATAGATAGAGAGAGAGAGAGAGAAGAGGGGAGGGAAAGAAAAGTTTTATTTAAGCTCTAATTTTCTTTCATGAAGATATCATATCTCTGTTTATACATTGCTCATTTTGATTGAAAATACACAGATTTATATTTTGAATGATTGTGAGATGGGAAACATAAATTCATTTGTATATTTATATTAAGAAAATGTTTACATGACGATTGATAAAGAGTACTGTAAGAGCTTTATGGCACTTAAGAATAATTTGATCTAAATTATTTCCCCATCTTGCAGTCGTTGTCTAAAAAGACCCATACAAAGACAGTTTTGAAAAGCTTTATAAAGTCTGTCTCTTCATCCCTCTCTTTCTTTCTCTTTCTTTATCCTTCTCTTTCTCTCTCCATCTATCTATCTCTGATATTAATGCATTGATGACATTGATGTAATCATAACCCTTGAATACAATGTTCTAGTTCCACAGGTTTCCTGGGCTGAGTACTACATTGAAATCTGTAAGTATTCATTGCTCCAAACCTTTCCCTGACGGCATACTGCATATCATTACAGAGACCTGCATTTCAATTGAATAGAGTCAACATGACTGTCACGTGGACCGGGATGTCATCAATTTGCCTCGGGAGCTTGGTAAGGAATCTTGGAAACCGTATCTTGTTTGAATAAACAAGTTATAACGAAATGTTTGCGAGGAATAAATTCAATCAGAGGTGATTTGAAATGAGCTGGATATCAAAGCACATGCAACGCTGATACTTGCTTGAATGATACAATATGGACGTATGGACAAAATGATAGACATATTCGTCAACATACAACAGACAATTTGGCGGGAATATCTTACAAGTGTATACTACATGTACCGTATAAATTTTACTTTGTCGCATAATAACTAATACAGACTCAACCCGATTGAATCTTTAATTATCCGCTGATTGGCTTGACCTTTCGATAAAGATTCTTATTCGCCGAATTGAACTCTTCAATATCTTCGACAAGTCGTTGCATCTCTTTCCGTCGTAGCTCAGCCTGTGAAGCAGCTTTGACAAGGACCCGACCAACTTCATGATCAAACGTCTTCTCTTCTCTCTCCGGCATGCGGGGTGTGGCCGGTCGGAACATAATGAAAGGTGCGCTGATTGTCACCATGTTCTCCATCTGCTTTTCATTCTCGCTTTCCGACTTCGAGTTGATCTGGACGACGGGTATCGTATCATCGGACGACCCAGTCGTCGATGAGTTTGAGCGATTCTGTTGAAATTCTACATCAGCGTCGATGTCACTGGTTACCGTCATGGTGTTGGCCATGTCCTTGATAGAAGGTTCTGACTGTGAATGACTCAGTCGTATTTGGGATAGAGTCACACCAATGTCGGACCAATCATCGGAGTCACTCGTGTCCTGGCATTTAGAACTTGAAGCAGAGGAAACGCTTCCTTTGTTGACAGACACGCCACTGTCACTGCTTTGGCAGTAGGGACACCCTAGGTCTGATTTCTCAGACACGACTGTGTGTGGAGTGCAGACAGGGGCTTTGTACCCAGTAGAGTCTGGGTTGTAGTAGTCTACCCCTCCATACGGTACATCGACATTGACGGATCGTTTGTCAAGGGCTGGTTCCTGACTTACCCTTCGAGTTTTATCATGAGAACTCGATAGGCTTGGCTTATATTTGACTGCTGATTTTGTTTTGGTCGTAGCACCACGGTTGTCTGCTTTATCTGTGCTATGGCGACCAAATGCCTGTTTGATACTCCTTGTTTGGGCACCGGAATCATTCTCACTACATGTTGATCGTGATCGAAGCCGACCAAGATGTTGTGAGTGTGAACACGCCACATTGTACGATCTCAGGTGCATGCAATGGTCATCTCTGGAATCTGACGAGGCCTTGTGAACACGGGTGGATAATGGAGTTGGTTTTTGAGAGCGAGCAAAGCGTTTAAGTGTGGGTGGTTGATGTCCTTTGTCCATGTCTGGGGAAAATTTATCAATTGACGTAAGTGAGTTGTGCCGTTTTGAGTAATAATCAGTACGTTTCGTTCCTTTCCTTGTAGAAGAATCTTCTAGCAGGCCGATTCCTTGGACTGGGTGTATAGCAGGTACTGGTCTGTTGGCCTTAGAATACATAGATAGCCGTCCTGCACGAGGGACGGTTGATAAGTCTGCATTGGTGACGAATACTGGTAGATTAAGAGAGAGATGACGGGTAAGACTCGGACGAGTCACTGGATGCGTCCTATGACGACTATGATCACCACCACCTCGACCAACAGAGGGCGTCGTAGACTGTCCATCTTTCTGGAGTTGTTGTTTCATGTCCTTGATCTTGCTCAGATACTTCACGTTATGATCGCCCTGTGTTCGTACATCGTCGTACCATTTCTGTTTCCTCTCCGGATTGTTGTTAGATGATTTCATGCTTGTACCATCAGTGGCGCGGTAAACGTTTTTACTTCGATTGTAAGCCATGTAACTCGATCAAGATAGACGCCTGCAAAGATAAAATGAAAATAATAATAGTGTAAATACAAATGAAATGAGTTAAAATGTGTAGGACAAATGTTTTATTTTACACTTGATATGAAATGTATAAATATTTATGGATTGCTGTATCGTGTGACAAATACACTCTAATGTCATTTAACAGATATTGTGTGCATATATAATGTCAGTGGAAAGACAGAGATAGTTAGAGGGATAGAGAGGGAGAGAGGGAGATAAAGAGAAGGGGGATGGGAGGGGTATATATGTACAAGGCAGGATAAGGCAGGCTACAAAATACGGAGGCGGAATAAGACTGTAGATAAAATCTTCAAATAATTTTGCGGTGTTTCCCACGTTTAAGATTGAATTCAGAAATATCAGATACGAAATCCCACCTTTTCACTCTTAACCTTTTACCAACATGTTTCAAGGGTAACCCTATTTTTTCCCCAGAAATCAGTAATCCCTACCCCCCATTAATTTTGTTTGGCTTCTTCTTATAAGCTCTGAACTGATCTCTAATAATCGTTTCGATCACGATCCTCATAGTTAGCATGACGCATGACAATAATTTGGTGATGAAATTATGTTCTCGTAATCGTTCTCCTCTGCACGATTCTAGAGAAAGTACGAGTCATCTGCTAGATGATGCCTTTTCTTTATAGCCATGTTCAATTTCTAAAATAAATCACACGAGCTGCACATCACGTCAGAATTTCATCAATTTACTCCACACGTTGGCGGTATAGACGAGAAACATAAATCATTTTTCTTTAATTAGTAATATATATTAAAATTGTTCTCACTTCTTGGAAATATCATGGATATATGGTTAAAGGAAAAAACAACAAGACAACATCACCATTCTTTCAGGGAACCAGAAATGTGATTTAATGGTATCTAATTTTTAACTAAATACGAATAACTTGAGAGGAATGAAGGAGAGATAAGAAAGCGACATAGAGATAGAAATATACATAGAGAGACAGAGAGAGAGAGAGAGAGAGAGACAGAGAGAGAGAGAGAGAGAGAGAGAGAGAGAGGGGAGGGGGGGAGACAGATAAGAGGGAGAGAACTAGAATGGAAATGATTTATATATATATATATATATATATATATACTTTTAAAAAGCGTTGAACCACAGAGGAAAGTAATTAATACATGCGTTATATTCGATCTCGATGACTGTATTACCACGCCTGGTCGGGTTTTCCTTTGCCAAAAATCCCTATCCTCAGTTCCTATTGGATAGTGGACATATCAAACAATAATTTCATGCCAAATGACCAATGGATGAAAATGTCCTTCAACTGCAAACAAAAAGAAAATAATTAGGATAATCATCACTTTTCCTACCCCGCCGGTGTTGGCATGGTTACTTGATAAAAAAAAAGGCTTTAGAGTGGTCACTAATGATGTTCTATTGATACGTTTGGAAGTAAGAAGGCGAGGGAAGTACGCAGTGGTATGGTAGGATCTTGATTATGAGATAGATAACTGAAAATCAGTGGAAAGAGAGGGGGGGATGAAAACACAATAGTAATAATGGTAACGATAATAATGACATCAATGAGATAATAAGATAATAATGATAATAATAACATATAATATTCACATCTAATTGCGATGAATACTACGTGTTTAACCGCTTTACACTTTAATGGAAGAACAGGTGATAAGATATGTTCGAATCAGGACAACCACCCCCACCAAAATTATCCCCACCCCTAAAAATGACTCCCTAAGACAATTATTCCCCCCGGAAAATTACCCCCACCTCCTGTTCATTGAATAAATTGTAGTCCACTCTGATAATAACTTGATTTTGATAAAAGCAGAATGTTTTTTTTTTGGGGGGGGGGGGGGAGGGGGGGGGGGTAATTGTCCGGGGTCGGGCTTCTCATCCAGTTAACCAGCGTAATAACGTGCAACATCAGCAGCAACTGACAAGGCTGCTCATTAGAAAAGATGGAAATGGTTAGACGCAAGCAGTGATATAATGAGTAGCAACACCTTGTACACCATAGTGATCTTTGGCCTCGCCTATCATGCTTCTTCCAATCAATTCCTACTTCAACATTATTCTTCTTTAGGGGAATGAAAATAGAGCAGACACGAGGTAATGTTGTTTCATCATCTCTACTTGTTATATTTGTCATTAAACTATCTATCAATTCGTCCTGTAATAGTCAGACTATGGTGTATCTTGCAGTAAGGTAAATTGCTCATCTGCATTTTAACTAGTATCAAAAGAAAATGGGGACATGCATTGCGAAGGCCGTATGAGGAGTGAAAGGTTTTTTTTTTAATTCCTGTTTTATGACTTCTTCATACAATTCTGGTGGTATCATTTATGCTAGTCTTGGGAAATCGAGAGGCTTCTACAACGTCACAATAGAGTCACATGTTCACTTTATCGAAACAGCATACAATGTTCAACGTATCGATACCTAGTAAAGAACAAGACGAAAATAGACAATTATCATCTTGCATGCTATAGGCGGAAAATCCCGCCTTGGAATAATTTAGGTTAATTAAAAAGATTAAATACGTACGTTCGAATGAAAAAAATGCAATTCGCTTTCTCTAAACCTGAAATAGATTATATCCTTTAAGAAGGTTGTTCCCATACAAATAGGCCTATACTAACAATAAACGATAAATCATATTCCTTTACGTTTGAAATCCTAGTGGCACAGATGGTGTTAATTTTGGAAGATATCATTCGCGATTAGCTTTAAAAGTCAAGCACATTACGTAACATTAACATAGGTCTTATCACATTAACCTTTGTAGAAAGAATTTAGTCTATAACTTTAATAACTTTTTTTTTCATAGACCACATACTATGCATGAAGCTTTTTTGCAATATTTTCAATCATCCTTTGGTTGCTATATTTTCCATTTTTGCTACATTTTAGTACATTTGGTCCGGTTTTTATATTTGCATTTTCTTGGTGAAATATCTATAGATCTATCGATGTTTACACATAACGGAACGAAACTGTGTATAAGGAATATCATTATTATTGACATCTATCATTAGTATCCTGCCCATATATACCAACAGATTCTCTTTTACTGGTGTACACTTCTTACATCATGTACATGACACTATAGGCTAACGATCAAAGCATGGATACCTAATAAATCTCAAACTGTTTTGTAGCATGTTTGGTAAACATGGTAGAGAGTGATAATGACTTTTACTCCGTTTAGAATGAGATATTAAATTACAGGTTCAGAGGCTACATAAATACCCTCATGTGATGCCTAACCTTAAACAATACGTATATAAGAGCGAACAATATCGTATCAATGCTCACCAATAGAGTACGCTCAATTCGTATCGTACATATTATCATTTCTTTACATTGCTGTTCATAATAGTCGAAATAAATTTACATTTTGTCTTCTCAAGAGAAATCTAAATGTAAGTTTGACAGTTCTGCAGTCTTCTCTTTTATTGATTTTCTCTGCATCTTTCTCTTCACAAAAAGTACAAACATTTCCTGTCCCATTTCCCTGTTATACACTCTCGATTTTTTCCGTTTCCTCTCGTATCTTTCCCCCATTCCGACTGCTATTTCCTCTCCTCATCTAGTTGTTGAACGAGTATTGATTCAACTAGCGTGCGTGACTGTAGTCAAAGCCATGCCAAAGCAAATTGCATCTGGGCCATGAACATGATAAATGTTTCGTGGCTTCCACCCCTCCCATCCCCCTTTCAACCTCATCCATTTTAAAAACACACACTTCTTCTTCTCTTTATTTTTATCTCCCCTCTCTCCATCTTCTTTTTGTTGCCAATATACACATTAATGTTTCTGGTTAAAAAAAGGGTTGATGATGATGGAAAATAATTATAGTGTTGGCGCCGAAAGCCATTGACGTGATTCAAGAACATCCATTAAAAACGCATCCGCCGTTACGATCCGGAATCGTATCACGATGAGGGGGAAAATCACTCAGAAAAAAACATTACCAACCTCCTCTTTTGAGGAAATTTCAATTTCATTGGACTGGAGCGAGACAAACAGGAAGCGACACCTCGATATTAGCTTCCACTCCTGCTGGTAATATAGTACACTGCTCCAATCCTCGTCAATCTGTTAAGCATTGATCGTAATTGAAATGCATGAAGAGGTTAATGATTGGAGCATCACCTTCTACTTAAGGGAATCCAACTTCCTGCTTCGACCTAACCCTGCTCTACTAACCAGTATAAGATGCTAGATGGAATAAGCAATGGTGAACCCAGGAGAAAGATAGAGGGATTGAGAGAGAGAGAGAGAGAGAGAGAGAGAGAGAGAGAGAGAGAGAGAGAGAGAGAGGGACACACACAGAGGGAGAGAGATGTATTTATTTATTTATTAATATTATTTTATTTGTTAATTCTTTCATTTATTTATTTATTTTATTACTATTATTATCATCATCATTATTTGTATTATTATTATCATTATATTTTTGTGTAGGGGGGGGGGGGTAATACAATGCTGTTTGTCCCCATGCGCTATAATTTTAAGGAATAATCCTATTTACTCCCTGGCCCAGTATTGAAAAAAATTAGTTATTCATTGTCTTGTCAAAATGATTAGTTAGGTAAGTGGTAGGGACTCGAACTCTGCACCAAGGCAGTCTGGTTACTTATCAACTAGACCACAACACCCCGTACGCCCCTTTTCTTTCAAATCTGTAATGCGTAATCGTTACCTCTTATATTCATCCTGAACTCTCTGTGCAATTTTACATTATAATGTGATTTGAGATGAGGAGATCGAGTATAGTATTCCTTACTCTATGATAGGTGTAATCAAAATACACTGATGGGATTGAAATGGAGAAGAGTCTTGCTCTGCTACTGGATATTTCAGTTCTTAGTAATGATATATTACAAAATACTACGCTTTCTAGAGGATGTACACCAATACAAGGCAACGTTTCTTTTCCTGCACATGCAATAAATTAAAGTGCGGACAAGGAGTAAATGAACGTTTTGAATTC